ATGTTTCTATGAATAGATCTTTTATGTTATAGGATCATCATCATCATCAGCCTATAAGTGCCATCTGCTGAGCAAAGGCCTCTTCTCATACGAAAAAGGTTAGAGCATTAATCACCATGCTTGCTCAATGCGGGTTGGCGATTTCAAACTTATAATTAGAAATTATAAGTCCAGGTTTCCTCACGATGTTTACCTTCACCGTATGTCAGTGGTGTCTAAATAATCATAGAAAGTACATATAACTCGGTAAAAGTCACATTGGTACTTGCCAGGTTTCGAACCCACACATTCGTGCATGAGAAGCGGGCTCCTTAACCTCCGGGCCACCACGACCTATGGATACGGATGTTATGATGTGGGACGGTAAACTAGCAGACGTATAACCTGATGGTAAGCAATCAGCGCTGCCCCAAGAGACCTGCAACATCGTGATTAAGAACTCCAGATTGGTGATTGGGAAAGGGGAAGGATTAAACTTGCGGCTATGTCCCGACGAAACACCGCACGCGTAGTTTCATGCCCGTTGTCTTTGAGGCCGTGTTCTACTGCATTCAAGCCGGCCTAGTCGCACTGAAGCATAGTTGTCCCGAATTTTATTCCGCAGTTATTTCGCGACATGATTATTCTTCGAGAATAATGGTGATCTGTCTGAAATGAAGTTTGATAGGAGACTTATCAATACAAGCGCTTACGGCCGATATATTATTATCCGATGTTAGTCTAAAATCTCAGGATCTATTAAATTGGCGTTTTCGCAGGGTTGTGATTTGATTCAAGACAAAGTAATTCGCGACGCGAATCCTCCCCAAAAGTCAATGCACAATCTGTTACTTTGTGCGTATCCACGTGTATGTAAGTATTTCTGTGGCGAAGCACAGGATAACGACAATGTTCAACAGATGGCGTCACAGTCCGACATCACGTCAGTGAAGTTTGCGCGCGAATAAAGCGAATAAAAATCCCAATTTACAATGCGATAGTAGTCCGCCAGGCTGATCACCGCACTTGGTTTGACGATATTTCTTTGGCGATCTTAGGAAACTTTATTCACTGTTCCTAAATACCTATCAGCGACAAAACTCCATTCCCATCCCATCTCCACAAAGTAGGCAACGAACTTTCAACTCTAATGTTGATTCTCTACCATACGTTCCATTATACGTGTACTCGCACGCCGCTAATTTTCCGTTTGTATGCCGTAAAAAAACTGTCTGCCTGAAACGTTACAGCCTCGCCCACTTTATAGAAAACCATGATTTATATAGAAAGCCGATATTATAATTAATAATTAGGATAGACGAAGTAAATTGGTGGAAATAAATATCTTAATTAACGTTATTACTTATTATTATTGATGAAAGATAATTGGTACAATTTATTCGAAACCGCCGTTCCTTAATTAATTATGTAATAATACTGAAAATCTTCTAGTGAAATTTTGATTTAGGTAATTAAGGTTTTAAAGGTAGATTTATAACGAATGAAATTCATTTATAATTATTACGTGGAATAAGGATGATGGCAGGTAAGGTATGGAAATTAAAAATATTTGTAGTGAGGCGGTTTGATAATAATAAAAATAAAAATTCTTTGTGTAGTAACTGCTTTGGTACAACGAATGTAGACACTCGTCAAGTTCGTTGGCAACGTCTTGTGAGTTATTAGGGATTTAAGAATAGGGGATTTGAAGGTAGTCTTTTGTAACCACGCTTCGGCACGAATGGGTCGGCTCGACCGGAGTGATTCCACGGTCTCTCAGAAAACCGGCGTGAAACAACCACAGCGTTCTGTTTCGCCGTCCGAGCGAGGTTATCTGACGCCCAATCCTTCCCCTCCCCCGATCCTTCACCAATTGCTAAATCTCCAAAACTCTATAAAGGGTGAACAACGCACTCGTAACTCCTCCGTTGCGGGTGTCCATTGAGGCGCTGACTGCTTACCATCAGGTAATCCGTCTGCTCGTTTGCCGACCTATTACAAAAAAAAACACACCCACACGGCAAAACTCAACGTATGTGTTGTTTCACGCCGGTTTTCTGAGAGGCCGTGTCACTTCAGTCGAGATGACCCATTCGTCACATGCCTCTCCTACACTTAAATATACTTACTATAGTTTAAAAAAAGTGTGAAGTAAAAGCAAGCAAAATATATGTAATTATATTACAATTATTATCTAAGAACGTAAATATATTTTCTATCTACGTTGTAAACGGCTAACAACCAATCCTTTACATTAAACAAACATGAAATCAATAAAGTCCATTGAAATTGAAATTTTGTTAAGACATTCTATTGTTTGATTATTAATCGGGTTGTGGTAACTGATAAATAGAATATCCAAAATATTGATTAGTACCTTCATGGCCTGAGTGTAAACGGCAAGCGCGTCATGCTATAATATTCTACAATTTATTATCAATTTTATTCTAAAAGTCTTATGGTTGAGAATCTATTGCAGGAATGGTAGTGATTGGATTCCGAAATCGTTTTGAGTAATGTTTTGTAGTTTTCGAAAACATAATAAGATGGTTTAAATTTGAACTCATTTTTTTGTTTTTCAATATCTATTATGAGTATGATGATATATGGAAATTCATTAATTCCCATCTAATCGTACGTAATTGGTAGAACAACAGCTGCTGCGGTTAGGCTGGCACTGCTGGGCAAAGGCCTGTTCTCACACGGAGAAGGATGAGCACTAAAACATCACGATTTCAAACTTATAATTAGAAATTTTAAGTCCAGGTTTTCTCTCGATTCGCGATCTAGGCACCGCGATCTCGGCCCAGAGCAGGAGAAGGAACGGGGAGGTTTTTAGTCAGTAAGAGTCTGACACTCCCTCCCGCCCGGCCCGGGGCGGGAGAAGTCATGGGATGATTTTCTCCTGACAAAAAAAAAAGGTTTTTCTCGATGATTTCCTTCACCCTATGCCAGTGGTGTCTATATATCTCTATAACTCGGAAAAAGTCACATTGCCAGGTTTCCAACGAACCACGTTCCAAGAGGCGAAATCCCACCCTTATACAGGCCATCACGACATCAAAGTTATCACAGTCAAAGTTACAATTAGTTTCATTTTATTATTATTAAAACGATGCCAAACATGAGGATTTTTTCTTGTATCGTGGGTGCGTTTACAACCATTTATACTCACACACACAGGCTACAATTACAGAAAAATGAAATGAGTGGATCACATAAATTTTTTGTTTTGATTTTCCTTTACAGTGCATATAATTTGAAAAAGACACATTGATACTTGCCAGGTACCCAAACCTTTTACCGTAACCTTCGGGCCACTACGACATATGCTATCTAACACCAACAAGAAATTGAAAATGTCATAATATTATTCGTTACGTGCCATTATTGCTAAGAGGAGTTTCGCCGAAGGTATTCTAGCATTATTTTGCAAACCTGTTCACACGTTCCCTTACATGACAACGGTCTGTAAGTGTCAAGATAATCCATTTATTGTGGTTCGTGAATTTATATTGTACCTTTAGGTCGGTTTTCCAATGGCATACAAAGGCGTTTGTGCTTTTGTTTGCTAAGCAGATAATTCAAGGTTTGGGAAGTAAAAATCTATTTTATAATATTGCTTCCACCCGCAGTATCGCCCGTATGGTGTGTTGATAAAAAAATAGCCTATGCGTTAATTTAGGGTATCATCTATCTTCGTACCAAATATCAACCAAATCGGCCCAGCCGTTTTTGCGTGAAAAAATAACAAACATACATGTATACATTCTCACAACCTTTCACATTTATAATACTATTTAGTGGAAGTAGGATACATATTAATATAAAGAACACTTTATTTGCAAATTAGCGCGTAATTAATACATAACTATGACTCTTGTATTTTTTTTATAAAAATAGGTTAGACATAATAAAGTAATTGTACGTTTCTTTTTCTGTCAGGGGAAAATCATCAAATGACTTCTCCCGCCTAGGGTAAGGCGAGAGAGAGTGTCAGACTCTTACTGACTAAAAACCCCCCCGTTCGTTTTCCTGCTCTGGGCCGAGGTCGCGGTGACTCATTGCGCTTAACCCGCAACCCCGGCAAGCAATTGTACCTAAGTTTCTTAAAAACTGTATAAAATCAGATTTAGCTACACGCTTATAGAATATTTCAGAAATGTATTCAATAGATTTATTAGACATTAATTGATTTATTGCGTGCGAGTACAAACTTTCTTCGAAATTAGTTTAGTACATTACATAACTTGTAATTTTTTTTATAATCATAGAATGACTTCTCGCGCCCTGGATGGCGACAGGGGGTGTAAGACTCTTACTAAAAACCACTCCGTTCCTTATCCTGCTCCTTTTTTTTGAGGCGGAAATTTTATCGAATGCCATCTCTCGCTCTATGGTGAGAGGTTGAGAGGAAGTGTGAGACTCTTACTGACTAAAACGCGCCATTCCTTCTCATGTTCTAAGCCAAGGCCACGGTACCTTATTGCGCTTAACCGGCAACCCCGGCTGAACATCAGCCCTATAGTGCCCCGTCTGCGGTGGTCCATTGGCTCTTTGAGGCGCGCGGAACGCTACGCGTCGTACGCTCGGGTCTGGTTCTGGTGGGGCGGCGAGCTGCCCCTACTCGCCGTCCGCAGACCCGTGCTGACGGTGGCCGGAGATCTCCCGACCCGCGCGAGGAGGATAGCTATCTCACACGCTCCACCTACCCCCTCTGACCCCTGCGGTGTATAAATGCTTGATTTTATGTTCATTTATATGATCTTCAAGAATTACCTACAAGACGGTAGTTTCCAACTAATCAAATTCAATATTTTTATCCAAATGTCAAAAACGCTACTTTTCTATGAAATTGGCATGAAACGCTGAGTTATGATGTCATAGTATTTTAGCGTCAAAACATAGTTAACATCTAAAATTTTGTGTATCGATCGATTGATGAATAAAAGTAAGTAAAGTTATTTTTCAAAATTTTATTGTATTGGAACGTCGACTTAATTTATTTTTGACCTAGGAAACTACCCAATTATCGTGTAATCGCTTCCCTCACCTAAAACAGTAATGTTATAAATGTTATAACTAATCAGTTATAATAGACAATGAGACATCGTTACTCATTAGCTTACCTTGGAGTAGGTACATGATATTATCTTACATACATTTCAATGAAGTCATCAGAGGTAATAGGATTTGTTAATATCAAACTTTGGTACAATATGGATTATGATATTTGGTATATGTAAATTATATTTCTTTTAAATTAAAAGGCTTTTTTATGATGGAAGATCATCAAATAACTTCTTTTATCCAAGGTACGGCAAGAGGAAGGGTCAGATTGCGCGGTTGGCGCAGTGGCTGGGCAACCAGCTGCTGTGCATCGTGAGACATATATTTGTGTGTTTAAAATATTGGTTTTCCGGGTCTGGGTGTGATGTGTATGTGAATTTACTTAAAAAATGGTTAACTCATCAAGAACCACTCTGTTCCTTCACCTGCTCTAGGCCGAGGCCGCGGTACTTTTTTGCACTTGTCCCACAATCCCGGCTAAACATCAGTTCAAGATGGGGCCCCTATCTGCGGCGGTCTATTGCAAATAACACAATGCGCCATATAGGTATGCTCTGTTCTGGTTTTGGTCGGGAGACGAATTACCCTTGCTTGCCGTCCGCAGATCCGCACTTATGGTGGCCGGAGATCGCCGCTCGATCGCGAGTGCGAGGATAATAGCTGCCTTACGCGCATCATCTCCTTTTTCGCGAGCATTACTGCTTCGCAGAAAGGGGAACCTCTCGGCCCACCTTAAATAAAGTAAAAAAGCAAGCTATATTACGAAAACTTTAAAAAAAATATTCGTCCTTACACAGTCAGTACCTTCTTTTGGCGCAATGCGGCGACTAAGTAATTATTGTTAAGATTTAAATATTAGGTCTGTAATATTATCAGGAATAATTATAATAATTTATCAACATAATATTTATTATTTCATGAATAATTATAATAATTTATCAACAGTTTCTTCGCAATAATTTAATGATATGTAATAGCACAGAATTTGGAATTTTACTTGGTGTAGGATAACATGGGTTTTGTTTCCCTTTAAATACTTATTCTACATTCTGCGGAAATGTACATACATCACGGTATCGTCACATCACACTTGTTTCAAAAGTCTAAGTTTTAAGATGGAGACCTCTAATTATATAAAAAAATCTGAGTTGAAGACGAAGAAAAAAGAAAGTGTGGGAGAGTCATGCTTTGTCACGAATGGGTCGGCTCGACCGGAGTGATACCACGGCCTCCCAGAAAACTGGCGTGAAACAACAACAGCGTTGTGTTTCGCCATGTGAGTGAGGTTGCCGGTCCAATCCTTACCCTTCCCTAATCGCTAAATCTCTAAATCTCTAATCCCTAAAAGGTCGGCATCGCACTCGTAACTCCTCCGTTGCGGGTGTCCATGGGCGGCGCTGATTGCTTACCATCAGGTAATCCGTCTGCTCGTTTGCCGACTTATTACATAAAAAAAATAAAAAAAGGTAACAAAAAAGACAAAAAGACTAAATTGTCATGACGCACTACACACTTTGGTATATAATATATATTATGGTATACATATCACTACATAGAATAATTAAAGTTGCTTTCTCTGCCCCTATATCTCTATGTATGCTGAAATCTTTAAACTATTCTTGTAGAGTGATGAAAAAGGACGGTTTACATGTTTAATAATTGGCTGATTAAGTATATATGCAAGATCCTGTTTCGTATAGGTAGTCCCAAATATATTTGATACAATAAAGCAGATAGTTCAAATGGCGTTTTATATTCCAATTTTAAAACGTGCCTTAAATAAATAAATACCTACCACAACAATTCTACGGGAATGATTGTTCGGCACATTTCTGACGTTGATGGCCATTTTCTTCGTAAAGGGTACCTAAATTTATAAATAATTCACTAAATATTTCTAATACATACCTATTAGTTAGATCCGTACCATTTTATTTATGGACGGACGGATAGCTGAGACTTAGTAAGTAATAGGGTATTTACCCATTGGAGAATCAGATGCACTCATAAAAATGAGACGATTAATAACAAATTTTATGTATACTTCGATTTTGTTCTATTGCTATAGGCTTTTTTCTATCAACACAGCACGCGGGCGAAGCCGCTGGCGGAAGTTAGTTCACTAATAATTCCACAAACAATAAGTGATATCATAGCGCCTAACATACCGGAGCAGCGTTTCGTGCGTTCGACGTACATTGCAGGTGCAGGTCGCGTCAACGTCCGTGCCATCGCAAATATACGAACATAACGAGCAATGTATGACGAACCGCACGACGCCCCACGTATGGGTTACCGCTACCTATCATGCTTGTAATAAAATCTTCAGACAAATAAAAAACTTTAAAACCATAAAGACTATATCAGAATTCTCACTATAACGATGACGATGCAGATTTGTATTGGTAGATTGCAGTCTAAAAATCCGTGCAATATGTTTCGTCATCAACTACCACAGAAATGTTGTGCTCATGAAGTGGTAGGTAAAGGAGCTGACGGATAACCCGATGGTAAGCAATCAGCGCCGCCCATAGACACAGGCAACTGAGGAGTTACGAGTGCGTTGCTAATCTTTTGGGAATTAGGGATTTGTAGATTTAGGCATTGCGGGAGGGGAAGGATTGGGCCTCCGGTAACCTCACTCACACGGCGAAACACAACGCTGCAAACAGCTATTTAAATAAAGAGCTATTTGTCAAACGACGACTATTAATTTCTCTCTAGTGTAGCCGCCGAGGATACCGTCGTTGCCATGGCAACCGTTTGGCTCTAAACGATCTTGTTGATACGCGTATCGTGACGTTTTGATTTTTAAGACGAAACCTTTTTTTAAATTATGTTACAAAATGAATTACCAATAAATTCCTATACTTAGTAGACTACATTTTCAAATAGCTCAAATAGCCAATATGGCCACGAGAAACAAGAATCAACTTATTATTTCATCCAAAATATTTCAAATCACACTTAATGACATAGCAAAATTACACACAATAGCAATATTGTTACCGAAAACTGAACAATATTTTTTTTACTAGCATCCGTTATAGAAAAAATATTAATAATAGTATTAAGTGACCTTTTATGTCAAGATGATTACAGTTACTATTTGTGTGGTCGTTTCACGATGTGTGTTACTTGAGTAGACCAACCGTGACCTAAGGGCAGTTACACGCCGAATGGCGTGCCGCCTGTCAGACCCGATCAAAGTTAAATACTTGAAAATGAATGTTTGTCGAGGAAATAAAGTGTTTTTCTGTGGGAAAGCCATGGTTTGACACGAATGGGCTGGCTCGACTGGAGTCATACTCATTTTAATTTTGAACTTACGGCTGTAAGTGCTTTGACGTTAGAAATAAAACTTTAAATGTAACTAATTATCTAGATAGGTCCTAAAATAGCTATTCTGATAGTTTATTAGCTTGGATCTTAAAATTACTCAGAGCTATGAAAAAAAATCCCTAAAATTTGTTTTTATAGTTAAATCATTTGTATCCTTATCTTGTTTCACATTATTAAGTATGTTGATTTTTTATTTAACATTTTAATGTATTCGTATTCTCATAACTTCGTCAATTTTGTGCCTATTGTAATTTTCCTTACTTTTATGTTTACATACACATCGTTAAAGATCAATACAAGATCTCTGTCTCAGTCATAAAATTAAAAAAATATATTTTATAAAGTTGCTGTACCTTATCGAATAAAATAAAAATAATTCGACAAATATTACCTCAAATCTAATAAGTTTTTTGAAATAAATAGGTACCTATCTATATTCTGCTCATCAGCTTTACCTAAAAATAAGAACTTTTAGAAGTTTCCTAATGAGAGAGACTACAATACATAATTTTCCGATGCTCTCGACCCCAGGGCCAACACCGAAGGACCAAAGAGCAATGTCCTTTAACATCTAAACTGATTATTGCGTGTCATAGAACGTAGTCTTCTTCCCAACCGGATAACGGACAACTGACAAGGTCGCTAGGACAATCTTGTAGAAAATATGACTCTTAACACATACATATATCTTTTAGCTTTTCTTACCTAAAGAAAACATAGAAGAAAAGTCATCATCCCCACATCGTCTAGAGAAGTATTGTAGTCTAAACATAGCTCCAAGGTCACAAAGGCGAGTTGATTGAACTCCTTTCAATCTACCCTCGTATTGTTTAATCAAAAGATAACACAGTGAATAACAAAAGACATTATTTTCTTCTATATTTCACATCTTCTAGATATTTATTAATTAGTAAAAATGTTTCGATGAATTTCAATCCTTTTGTGTTCTTAGAAATGTGAATTGATTAACAGTTTTTTGTTATGAAAACCTTCGATTTATCTTTTTATATAATTATTGTTTTATTACATATCACACAGCCAGCCTATATGTGTCTGCGATGTTAACTCTTACCATAGGCCGCTTCTCACGCGAAGAAGGTTTGAGTTAATCACCATGCTTGCTCAAGGCGAATGGCGATTTTGAATTTATAATTAGAAATTATAAGTTTAGTTTTTTCCCTCCAGGGACTATATTTGGTCTCGCACAAATTGTTACCAACTTTATATGTACTATGTAGCATAAGTACCTATATATAAATAAATTAATATATTGGGTATACTTACCTGGTCTTGTACCCGCACGGAGACCCGCACCAGAAGCGGGCCCCTTAACCACGGGGCCACCACGACATTCCTTCTGATCACTTGAAATTTATTTTAATAAATAGTATTTCCATAGTTATCATATCCACCAGCCCATAGCAATCCATACACATAACCTTTTCAATTATTACCACATTTCGCAATAGTCCTGCATCAACTGGGGATTATCCTTGTTTGCACTTTCATAGTAATTACAGGGATGTTCCATTTCACTTATATTAAAGTCGTTCAACGGGCCTCTGCAAGTTGGCTTCGGCCCCTCGTACGCCTTCGTACGTCGTCCGGGATCCTGTAATCACGTGAAAAAAACGATCACAAATAAATAAAACTAACATTGTTTCCCTCCCTGTGTGTACTCACCTTAACAAACAAAGTTTTCCTCATGAACTAGAAATGCATTAAAGGCCTTGATATCAAAAATTTAATGAAGTGATAATTAAGGTCAAATTATTTGGGTCAAAATATATGTTCACGATGTGAAAAATCATAAATCCTCTATAAAGATAATTTAACAGTTACGCTGAATATTTTTTAAACGTGGAAAACGATGGAATTTTTTGGAAGGAGTTTTTATTAGTTGAACATATTCTGTTCTACTTAGTCTGTGGTAATATGAAACAAAAGGTTGGCCAGCTTTATTTCGATGAGGTAAGATACATATTGTTTCTATGTCCACTGACGTCTTATTATTATACTGGAACGTTAACTGACATTCAGTTTCTTACATTGACTTTTTTGTTTGTTGGTGGCAAATCGACTAAGGATTTCTCTTGCCTTAGGCTTGGCGAGATAGAGTTTTAGATCCTTATTGACTAAAAGCGGGGTAAGCACAATGAGGTACCGCGACCTCAGCCCAGAGCAGGAGAAGGAACGGGGGGGTTTTTTTGTCAGTAATAGTTAGGCACTCCTTCCCGTCCGATCCTGGGCAGGAGAAGAAATTTGATGATTTTTCCCTCACAATAAAAAGCAGTAACTGATTGCGCTTGTATCCGCAGCCCTAGCTGAAATATATAGCAGCAGCATACTTAGTACCTTTCTTTATATAAAAGGGAGTTTTATATTATGCTTTAATATATATCTAGTTATGTTAATACACGTGTTATTTCAACACGCATGTGTGTGGAAACATTTCGTAACAATCATGAGATAGTATCACACGGTGGCGGAACAAAATGTCGCGTTTCAGTTTAGATAAACATCGCATCGATGACGGAATAGTACATGACGGCCACTGAAAACTGGAACTTGGCATATTTTGTACGAGTTTAAATTATAAATTAATACAAGTAATGTAACCAGGCAATATTTGTTAGAAAACTTCGTATTAATCATCATCATCCAAACTATAATATTATAAATTCGAAAGTAACTCTGTCTGTCTGTCTTTTCTTAACGCCTAAACTACTGAACCGATTTCTGTGAAATTTGGTAAAAACATAGTTTGGAATTCGAGAAAGGACATAGGATTATTGTTATTGTTTTTATAACCTAAAATCTGCAGGAAGTCACTATTCCACGCGAACGGAGTCGCGGGCAAAAGCTGTTTATTAATAAGTACTTCTAAGACCACTGCTAAGCTTTGAGTTTCCTAAGACTATTTTATTGAAATTCATTAACCCTTTGAAAACGATATTGTGAATGCACGCAGCAAGGTCTGTTGAAATCGAATTTCTTATTTTCAAGACAACCGAAGCCAAATAATACAACTGAAAATATCTTGGTACTACTACACTACTTAGTTAGGCAAAATTATAACACAATCTGGACATTAAGAATGGTCAATTTAGATACCAACTTTACTTAGAAGGATAGAAGCACCGTGAATAAGAAGAATAAGCAACAATCAAACTCAATACTACTGATTGAACAAATATGGCAATTTGTTTGAAATTTACTACCGAAGTTCTGAATAATACCTTAATAGTAATTCAGGTAATTCAACCAAAAATTTGACGTCACACGAATATATTTGTCCTTACAGACTACACAGATGATAGATTAATTTCATCGAGTCTGCCTTTCCAAGAATACTTACTATACGTCTTTATAGTTTCTTTGTCTCTGAACCGCTTCATTTACTTTACTTTTTATCATGATTCAATTGAACTTCTCATCTGTGGAAATGAACAGACTAGAGACTTAAATCAATAAGAACGACGACCTACCTTTTGAGTCCTGCATTTTTTTCTCCCATCAAAACTTGAACTTGCGTCATCGACTAAATTAAATTGAGATCCTTTTTTAGGTTTCGTCTCAGGCTAAATGTATACCTTTTTGTTTTAAGATCTTGATTGAAAAGGACTTCAGGCATATTTTTCTAGGGGTTCTATAAATTTTGTCACACATAGCTGACTCTGGCTTTACTATATAGATATCGCTTAGTCATCATCATCAAAAGCCTATAAGTTCCCACTGCTGAATAAAGTGTGACCTTCCCTTTTCACATGGAGAAGATCTGAGAATAATGAATTGCAACGCTTTTTCAAGCAGTATTGGCGATTCAAACTTTTCAATTTCAAATTGTAGCTCCAGGTTTTTCCTTCACCGTTTATCGCTGGAGTTTATATAAACTTAGAAAGTCCGTATAACTCGGAAAAAGTCGCATTGGTACATACTTGACAGATCTTGAACCTGTCATTCATGAAAAGCATTGTTTGTTAGGGCACCCTTAACAATCTCTGGACCACCTAGACATTTAGCTCTATTCGAGCATTTTATTTTCATAATAATATTGGCTCCAGCTTCAGTTGGATTTGGTTTTTGGCATTGGGATGGCATTTGGGGTACGTTGCCAAAAACCGTAGACAGCTTTGTAACAACACAGAAAATTGTGAAAAAAAAAGGTATACTGCATCGCAACACCAACTGAATTTTATCATTAACAAAGTGTTATAAGCAGTGATAATTCGCGTATTCTCATTTTGTTAGATGACAAACAAACAACCTTACATCAAACACAGAAATGAAAACGCAAATCAGAGAATAATCTCAATTTGCCATTTCATTACCGTCGTAAAGTACAAATTGTGGTACAAAATGGTCGTAAAAATAAATGTTCTACCACACACAGTTTGTAGTCGGCATTCGTATCAATAAGTACTTGCATGGCAATATTATTATATTTTACACAATAGCCGGCCATAACTGTCCAGTGAGATGTTTAGTTGTAAGTGAAATTTTATACCACATCATTTTTTTCTTCATCGGCTTCATTTTTATCTATTTCTAACAATTTCATTTCGTTGACGAAGTTCGTTTGTGCTGTGTGTTGTGTTTTAGTTTGTGTTTCGTGTTTTGAAGTAGATAAAGGTTTGAGTTCAACCTTCAGTGATATTTGGCGATGATTGGTAAGCAAAATTGTTTGCAGTGGAATTCAGTTAGAATTAGAATCAGAAGGATTATAAATGTATTAAGCTGTTAATTTCTTTTAAGAAAGTTTGGAAAAAGTTAACCTTTAGCTAATTACTTTTTATAGGTTTGATAAAGTTATTATATCGAAGACAGAATTTTCATTTTGGTTAATTGAAACATAATAGATAAGTAACGATTTAAACTTTGATGGTCAGAATTAGAAGAATATTATTAAAATATCCGAAACAATTTTAACGAATCTAAGTATATTGAGTATGATTTTACATGTTAATGAAAATGGGGTCGTAATTGTATGGTTTCACGTCACAAAGTTCAAAATATGTGTCTTTTCTCCTAATACCATACAAACGATGGTCGCCCCATCGCTGTTTTATAGATTTTATTGGCAAAATATTGTGTAAGCTACTCAGATTACTTAAATCAACGTGTATTTTGCTCAGTGGCCCGTTGGTTGGTATCTAGAACAAACCAACCGCTGTACCTATATTTTATTATGATGATAGTGGTAAGCAATTCGGCGCCACCCATGGACACTTATAACTCCAGGAGAGTAACAATTCCGTTTCTAGCCTTTAAATGTGTTAGAGACCAAGCGGAAATTGAGGGTTGGGGGTAGTGGGTAAAGTTTGAGCATTTGATAACCCCAGTCACATAGTGCAATACAACATAAGCGTTATTTCACGTCCGTTTTTTTAGGAGGTGATATCACTGAGGTAGAGACGGCCCAAGCTTGGCTCTCCCACTCATTAATTAATTTAGGTAATAATATAAGACCATGGTATTACTTATCAGTCTGGTCGAGACAGCAGACAGAATGTGTAGACACATTGATTTATTAAAGTAATAATATTTCTTTCTTTCTCTTTCCAGTGCAACATCTGGAGCTGATCTACATTACCAAGTGTCTCCTGCTAGTGTCCTTATATGCAGCAAGTGTACCACATACGGTTCCTGCTAAATTTACATTGAGTAACTTCTTTGATTCAACCTTATCAATGATTCATCCTCTTGTTAGTGCTGGATCTGATCGATGTGAGTATTAACTTACTAACTAAAGTGCTAACATTTCAACTTTTTTATGTGATAGTTTGGCAAACGAGCAGTTTACCTGGTGGTAAGCAATTGTCGACCCATTCGTGCCATTCCATATTTAATAGATAATTAATGCGGTACTCAGAGACATTATAATTACCTAATAAAAAAATTCCTCGTTTAATATTTTAATACGCTTAATGCACATAAGATATATACTTAAGGTGGACTTACTGCCATTGGTATTCTCTATCACTCAAAGCTTTGGTTTTTTTTTGTCAGGGGAAAATCATTAAATGACTTTTCCCTAACATGACCACCCAGGGTAAGGCGAGAGGAAGTGTCAGACTCTTACAGACTAAAAATCCCCCGCTCCTTTCCTGCTCTAACTCGACCAAGGCAGCGGTGCCTCATTACGCTTGCCCTATCGTTGTTTATTGGATCTTTGAGGCGCGCGTGGACCGCTACGCGCCGTACGCTCGGGTCTAGTTTTGGTCGGGCGGTGAGCTACCCTTACTCGCCGACGGCAGACCCGTGCTTAAGGTGTCGGAAGATCATCCTCTTGATCCCTGACGACCGAAGTGTCGCCTACTGCGGCGGCTGGGGCATGAGAAAGAGAATGAATTACTTACACGGTCCACCTCCCTCTTTGCGACCATAACTGCTTCACAAAAAGAGGAGACGGCTCCGCACTATAGCTTCGACTAAGAGCCTGCCGCCGGGCGCGAAGGGTTGCCACCGCCAATCACTTCTCAAAGGACACCGCGGTGCCCAGCCTAAGCAGGGCACACCGCCACCGCATGCTCCACCGTGTCCTCTGGGTGGTCCTCACAATAACGACACTCGGGCGTTTCCTCCCGCCGAATCCGAAACAGGAACTATGAGTGGGACGTGAATTTTAAATTGTACATATGTAAAAAGCAACCGATGACAAAATAGTATCATGTGGGACAGTGGCAAAAAACATATAGCTAAATATCAAAGTCAAACCAGCATGTGTAATTAATTATGAATTCTAAAATCTAAAATCACAGGCAAATAGTATATATTTTATTCAAAGTTACAAAAGTTAAATGATAAATAATAACGAGATATTTTTATGATAATTCACAATTAAATTGTACGTTTTTATTTAAACTCGTATTGAATCAGATACGCCATGTTACATGTTAAATAAATGATAGTATAAAAATGTTTGAGATGAATTTATGATAATACTGATTTTATCATAATTACACAACATTAGGTATAGTGCACAACAATTCTACTTTGAAGTAGTTTACTTTAACTTCATTACACTCACATTTAATTTTAAATTTATATCTATTTAAATCATTTTAATTTTAAATCACAAAAATAACTTCTAGCGAAATATATCCGGAGTGATACCACGGCCTCACAGAATACCGGCGTGAAACAACCAAAGCGTTGTGCTTCGCCATGTAACTGAGGTTACCGGAACCGGAGGCCCAATCCCTCCCTTCCCCTGATCCCTCACAATCCCTAAATCTCCAAAACCCTAATCCCTAAAAGGTCGGCAACGCACTCGTAACTCCTCCGTTGCGGGTGTCCATCGGCGGCGCTGATTACTTACCATCAGGTAATCCGTCTACTCGTTTGCCGACCTATTATTACATAAAAAAAAATCTTAAACATGTCATTGCTTAAGTAAGAGATGTTCTTATAGCTAAGAAATACCTACAAATTTTATCGTAATTTCTCTATAAAAAGTATGCATTTACTGAAAAAATTACTAACTAACTTAAACTAAATGAGAAAAGCTCTAGTTTCAAGTTACATCACTCAGTCGAGTCACGAAGCCAACTCTGAGTTGGTGATTAAGTCGTTAATTTCAGCAAATTTATTATACCTCACGATAGCTACATTTCCAAAATATGTAATTTGTCTTAGTAGGTATCTCAAGGAGTAAGACGTTTGTATATTTTGTCAAATAAAAACAGCCTTGGCAACAGATGGTAGAAAGTTTTGATGGTTCATCAACAAAGTTAAATTCGATTGAAGAAGAATTCGACCAACCAGAAAAGTAGTTAATGTTTTTCTTTAATTCCCAAATCGTTTCGATAATCGAATCTCAAAGTTTGATTATTAAGACGTAGTGAGAGTGATTTCAAAGGACAAGATGACTAGACATACGACGGTAGATATCTGATTTGCAAAAAACAACTGAATCACCTATGAAATAAAGTTGTTTTCAAATCATTGTTGGAGTAAATATTAGCCGGTCTGGTACCCTCTGGGCTAAAGTTTTCCAGTTATTATTATGAAGCAGACATAACAATGTTGAAGAAGTTTTTAGTGCTTTGTTACAATTGTAGAAAATAAATGGTAAAGTTTGAAACCTTGGCCCCGAGGACTTGTAAGGAATTTCATTATTTGAAAGGTAAAATATCAAAACATTGGCGATTGTATTTATTTATATAGGTATTTTGTTATTTGTATAATGCCAATACATTACTTAGTTAAAGTGAACTTATAATATTCTCTATATCTATTAGTTATTATGTAAAACTGACTGTCTTGGGTATTCAAAACATAGATACGTACTTATATGAGAATCCACCTAATGAGTTAATTTTTGATCGATTTACACACTTTTTAAATGCGGTGAAACCAGAACCTATAATTTCAAATTATCAGTTTGAAATCGCCAATTTGCACTCTATAAGCGTTTTTTTTTACTTTTTTCCGTGTAAAAAGAGGCCTTTGCGTAGCAATGGGAATTGGAAATCGGGTAATTAATGATTAGTATGAGATTAGATAAATAGTTATAGTAAACAAATCCATTCATGTTCCAGGTGAATCTCTCAAAAGCTTTTTGGGTATAACATACGAGCAGATGCAGGTGAAGAACAAAACAAATTGGTATGATGTGTTGAACATAGATCTAGTCACTAAGAACGGAAACATAAAATACAATCTGACGGCAACAAGGAGGATGAACCGGTTGATGGCTCGAGCTCAGACCATAGTCATACTAATCCATGGTTTCATGGAGAGTTCGAATGGCTGGATGGTCAACGCTCTAGCACCAGAACTTTTAAAGAAGTCTGTGTATAAAGTGTTTGCCCTAGACGGAAGGAAGATCATCAATCTAGAATATTTTAGTTCTTCTACGAATGCAAGATTCATGGGAGAAATGCTTGGCAGTTTCTTGAGTGATGTTATTAAAAGTGAGTAAAATATTAGGTATGATATATTCAAGAAAATGAAATAGGGCCTTGACTGATTATCATTTATCAAAAAGCTAGTTGCATTTTCTGGAAATAAAATTATATGAAAAAACCAGCTTTTATCAGGTGCGTCGATAAGTTCAGGGTCAATAATATAGAGACATTTTATAGATTTAAATTTAAATCATACAGGTTGTAATGAAACGCACGCAAGTTGATTAAACACTGATTTTTATTCATACACCATCACATACGATTATCACGGAATACTGTCATACCGTCACTAATATACTACACAGCTCAGAATTTATGTCCACGCAAACTAAACGTGCATAGAGAATTTGAGCTCAATCGATTTTAAAAACAGCTTCAAAATTTAGGTATATGTTGCAACGTACATACCTACAATACAAGCTTTTTAAAATGCTGATGTTTCAGATGGTGAAGACCCATCGAAGATTTACATCATAGGCCACAGCTTGGGATCTCATATCGCAGGAATAGCTGGCAAAAAAGTTTATGAAGTAACTGGCAAAAGGATTAGTCGGATCACAGCATTGGACCCTGCTGGACCATGCTTCAGTAACATTACTGACAGTGGAAGACTTGCCAGGACTGATGCAGAATACGTTGATGTAATACATAGCAATGCAGGCATATTGGGTCTCAAAGCGCCTGTAGGTAAACAATGAGCTTTTAAAATATATTTTAAATAGTTTAAAGTGCATTCTAGATAGCAAAAAAATTAGTAAGAATATTATTATTTAGGTTAAAATTCGAACCAATGTTGAGCTCCGACTAGAGTTCTAAAAAACTTTATTAAAGTTCATTGGGCATTTTATTGCAAAAATGACTTATTTTATGTGTAATAATTGTATTGTTTTCTAACTAGTAATTAGAATATATTATAGTAGTAGAAATAATCTTGTTCAGTTGAGCAGATAACGTCTTGATTTGGGGTAAAAGACCCCAAGACCACAAGGGTACTAAAACTTTTAGTGTCAAAGTCAAGCTTAAAGATTTTTAGTTTAATTATTTTTTTAAACAGGCACTTTGGAATATCTTAGTTGTATTGTATGTCAGTCTGACCAATAGTAAAAGCTAGATATTCAAAATGTAGATTTATAACCGACAGACGATTAGCAGTACGGCAATTATACTCGATTGAAGACGGGTTAATACCAAATAATATTTGCCTTATTCTTAACGGGTGATTAAGCCATCTGTAGCTTTGTCACAAAAAGCAACCTTACTGCAACGGCCTAAAAATCTTTTTCAAAGTTAAATTCTGGATTCTCATTGGAACTGAGATTCTATTGAGGAGGGAATTAATATGCAGCGTTGGTTAAGGCCTACTTCTTTTGTTCTAAAGTAGTATTAGTGATGTGCATACTTTTGTGAAGAATATCCTCATTGTGCTTCAGTTGATGGCCACTTGTCTGCCATTAGGAAGGAATTATTATGGTGTAAGCTACTTTCCTATTGTTTTTGCCATGAAGATATTTTTCTGAGAATTTCTTGGTTTTGCATTTTGTCCGTCGAACGTTCATTTGTTGTCTCAATACTATCGTCTTTCAAATTTATTTTGAGCAACGTTACGAATCCAAAAGCCAGGTGTAAGTTACCTATAATAAAAATAAATTGCTCGTCTGCATTGATCGTTTCAGTCTGATGAATTTATGTACTAAAGCCTATCTGAAAACGTTAATCTCAATTGACACGCACAATCGTGAATGAAAATTTGTTCAATTTAAATATTTTCAATCAACGTACACTGTCATTTGATTTGATATTAAAAATTGATAGCTGTCACAGTGTATTTAAAGTGTAATTTTAATTTTCAGGTCACAAAGACTTTTACCCTAACGGAGGGGTCATACAACCTGGTTGCTATCTATCTATATGTGATCACAGTAGAGCTTGGGAGTTATTTGCAGAATCTATTGCATCACCTAAACACTTTCCAGGTACGCCAAGTTTTGTAAATTGTTCAATAAACTTGTTTCATAAAAGAAAATCAGCATTGTGTTGAGTGAGGATACCGGAGGCCTAATCCTTTCACTTCCCCAATCCCTAAATCTTATCAGGACGGCAACCAGTCGGCTATCTTTCAAATTTAAAGTACACAATTATTTGCTAGAGAAACTGACAGATTCCACTAATAAGTGTTTTGTTGTTTTTGTTCTTGTATGTATTCGTAATATATAATTCTTCCCATATTTAATTATATTATTTATGTATTATTTATATGGTATATGTGTATTTGTAGGTTATATTTATTGTATTCATATATCATGTTTTTGTATTATATGTATATCTTGCCTTATATTTTTCAATCATTTGTGTGCTTGTTTAAAACCTTATGTTAACACTTCTCTGCATCACCCTTGAGGTTGTCTGGTAGAGAATGCCTTCGGGCATTAAGTCCGCCTTGTAGGTATTTTGTATGTACATAAAGTGTTAAAATAAAATAAATAAATCTCCGAATCTTAAATCCCTAAAAGGTCGGCAACGCACTCAGAACTCCTCCGTTGCGCGTGTTCATGGGCGGCGCTGATTGCTTACCATCAAGCAAAACGTCTGCTCGTTTGCCGACCTATTTCATAAAAAGTAACTTACCCCCAGGACGCCCGTAGTAGGTGTTTCGATATAACATAATGGTTTACCATAGCTGTTTATTAATTACATTACTCCATGATTTTTTTTATGTAATAAGTCGGCAAACGAGCAGACGGATTACCTGATGATAAGCTATCAGCGCCGCCCATGGACACCCGCAACGGAGGAGTTACGAGTGCGTTGCCGACCTTTTAGGGATTAAGGATTTGGAGATTTAGGGATTGGGGAAGGGTCCGGGAAGGGGAAGGATTGGGCCTCCGGTAACCTCACTCACACGGCGAAACACAACGCTGTGGTTGTTTCACGCCGGTTTTCTGTGAGGCCGTGGTATCACTCCGGTCGAGCCGACCCATTCGTGCCGAAGCATGGCTCTCCCACACTTTATTTATTATTATTTATTTATTATAAGGTAGGCTCAGCTTATGTATACAAAGTGGTTTAAAGTATTGGTCATATACATTAGCCAGTTACGAGCTAACCAACATTCTAAAAATTATGCGTTTATACAGTCAAAATACATAGAAATTAAAACTAGAACTAATTAAATTAACATAGGTAGAACAACAGTATTAATCATAGTAAAGTATTTACAAAATAAAATAAAAAATAAAATTCGATGTGGGCTACCATTTATAAATTTAGAATTATAAAATGCTACATGAATATATAATGGAGTTATATTTTAGACATTTTAGATAGGAGGAGTATACAAAAATTCGGATTATTGTTAAATGGACTCGAATATTTTTGATTTCAATACATTAATGGTGCCGTGGAGTATACCGATTTCTGGTACAATTGATGTGATTTCAAATCCAAATTGTATTTTATAACCCCAAAGTAGTGTAGTGTACACTGTTTCTTTTACAGCACGCAAATGTGAAAATTGGACAATGTTTGGAGAAGGCCGCTGTTCGAAGAACGAGATATCCTACATGGGTTTGGAATCTGATAGCAGCAGTCCTGGTATATACTTCCTCACCACAAAAAATTCTGCGCCGTTCGGTATGGGTTCCGCAGGCAGTGGGTAAAACAAAAAATGGAATAAAATTTTTAGTACAGAATGATGTATGTTCTTCTCCAATTCCTATGGTATCCAAATCCAAAAACATCAGATTTATTCCAACTAAACCATATGCAGGTACTTTTAAAACATCACGATCGAGAATGTTTTAGTGGAAAATGATAATTTCTTCTGCTGTTTTTTATTATGATGACAGTTAGTATCGGAAGTATAGTTTTTGGCTGCATCATGATCATCAGCCGCAAGATGTCCACTGCTGAACACAGGCCTCTCCTCCTTAGCCTTTCACGTCGAACAACAACTTGCCATCTACGTCCATTGGCTCCCCTCGACTCTGAGATGTTTGAGATTACCTAATTTTCCAGTTTCTTTGTTGTCAAGCTTCCACGTTTCTGTGTGATTAGGTGGATATAAAACGTTTGATCAATTAATATCAAAAGGAGTTCGCAAATATATAATTTAATTTTTTGAGCATGATAATTTTCACGATTTTTTTGTATGGAATAAGATTTTTTTATGATAGAAGATACTAACTAAAAATTTTGTGGTGGCCCTGAGGTTATGACGCCTCCTTGTTAAAGGCGTATACACTTTCTTAGGCTATTCACTTACTGTAAAGACAAATATTTAATTTAATTTTGTTTGTATTCTTCAAGGAAGGATAAAATGTTCATTTACTGAATGTGATCTTTTTTGTCAGGGGAAAATCATCAAATGACTTTTCCCGCCCAGAGTTAGGCGAGAGAGGGTGTCAGACTCTTACTGACTAAAACCCCCCCGTTCCTTCTCCTGCTCTGAGCCGAGGCCGCGGTGACTCATTGCGCTTAACCCGCAACCCCGGCTGAACATCAGGCCTATACATAGGGCCCCGTCTGTGATGGTCCATTGGCTCTTTGAAGCGCGCGCGGAACGCTACGCGCCGTACACTCGGGTCAGGTTCTGGTCGGGCGGCGAGCTACCCTTACTCGCCGTCCGCAGACCCGCGTTTACGGTGGCCGGAGATCATCTCTCGAACTTAGATGGTCTTGGACTCCTTTTTTGTACTTTTGTCACCAGTATGTATGTATGTGGTGTCAATGTAAGTTTGAAATCGCCAATCGGCACTGAGCAAGGCTGGTAATTAATGCTGAAATCTTTTCGGTTTGAAAAGATGCCAGAACTCAGTGGTAGACACTTAAACCATGGTGATGACAAAACTTAAACACGATAAAGGTCTCATTGTTTGTCATATATATGTATACTTTACTAAAAATATCTTGAATACGGCATTGAAGTCAATTACATTTTAATGTTAGAGATATTGCTACTTTTTATGAAGTAGGAGGCAAACCGACGGAAGACAGACGGATTACCTGATCCACCCTCACCTGGTAAGTGATCAATGCCCTTTTATAACCGCAACACCAGATAAGTCACAGGCACTATACTTCATATAAAATATTATACATAAATAAAGTACAAACTACTAATAATATAATGAAAGGATACTTGAGGCAAATAAGAAAGTTCTTATGAAAATAATGAAACAGAACGTTATAACACATAAACCTTTCAATCTTAATTCGAGGCATAATAAAAGAACGATATTTTGGCGAACGCCGGCGTTCGCTTTGGGTTCGATGAATTAATAGAGAAACAAAATCACTTTCACCAAGAATATAATAGAATGAAGGAATGATATGCCAAGGTCACACTGTGATTTTGAACTCTACACTAAAGCTATTTAAGGACTTATTTAAATTGCATTTCGTGAAAATAAAACGGTTTTCGCTAAAGATTACATGCGAAGAGAGCTTACAGGTATAAGCTTAAGTATAAAGATGAGATTAATCGTAACGATTGGAATTTTAATTCTTTAAATACTTAGTTTTTTTTTATTCTTGCCTTTAGTCATTTCGTCTTTATACATACTATTGGTTCTTCTAATATTTGATCACAGTTCATAATTACATTACTGTCTTTCTAAGTATTGTTTTTTATGTAATAGATCGGCAAACGCCCAGACGGATTACCTGATGGTAGGCAATTAGCGCCGCCCATGGACACCTGCACCCGCAAGAAGGAGTTACGAGTGCGTTGCCGACCTTTTAGGGATAAGGGATTTGGAGATTTAGGGATTGAGGAGGGATTGGGGGTGGGGAAGGATTGGGCCTCTGGTAACCTCACTCACACGGCGAAACACAACGCTCTGGTTGTTTCACGCCGGTTTTCTGTCAGGCCGTGGTATCAATCCGGTCGAGCCGACCCATTTCGTGTCGAAGCATGGCTCTCCCACACCTAAATTAGTTTCATCATTTTAATGTGATAGGACAGCAAATGATCAGACGGTTGACCTGATGGTAAGCGCAAACGGTCCCGTTCATGTATACACTAGCAACACCGCCTGAAGCAGAAGAAGGAACGGGGATGTTTTAAGTCATAAAAGTCTGATACTCTTCCTTGCCTTACTCTGGGCGAGGGAACTAATTTGATAATTTGACCCCTAACAAAACCATAAGACCAGAATTAAAATCCAAACTTCCAAACTAATATTATAATAGCGAAAGTAACTGTGTCTGACAGTCTTTTCTTCACGCCTAAACTACAGAACCGATTTCTGTAATGCTTATTACAGACATAGTTGGAACACGAGAATGGACGTACCTACTGTAGGATAGTTTTTATACCAAAAATCTGGAGGAAGTCACTATTCCACGCGAACGAAGTCGCAGGCAAAAGCTAGTTCTTTATAATTCCGATTAAGATTTCCATAATACTACAATGTAACAGGTGAACCTAATGAAACCGCGTTGAAAATGAAAGTGGCATTACAAAGAAAAATATAAATTCAGAGGAATTTATTGCTTCAGAGCAATAAGGCATTCCCTACCTGTATGTTGGACTCCCTATAAAAGTTGTTGAGGAAGGGTCAACCGATATTTCTTCGATCCTCAAGGGAGGGCCATGGGAAGAGGTGAAACATTAACACGTAAAAAATAAGTATGCCTTAAGGGATAGAGTCGGCGACAAGATACAATAAACTGATAATCCTTTAGGAATTACTTCAAGGAAAGTGTAAATATACTGAGATTTAATATTTTAATTTATGGGTAATGTTTGGCGTTAAGGGCCCTATTTTAATGTGCACTAAGAACAGAATGGAATGACTATGATTTTCTTTTGTACGATCAATAACAGTTCACATCATTAGCCTATATGGGCCTACTGCTACAAAGGACTCTTCTTACATGGAGAAGGTTTGAGCACTAACCACTACGCTAACTCAAGGTGGATTGACGATTTCAAACGTATAATTAGAAATTAGAAATTATACATCCAGGTTTCCCCACGATTTTCTTTTACCGCATGTCATTCGTTTCTAAATAATCATAGAAAGTTCCTATTAACAGTTTACTGTATTACGAGATTTAGCATACACTACATACTTATAGGGTTAATGGCAAGAAGACACCATCAGAAGACAGTCGACTACAATTCCTGCTACTATACTAGCTGCGCTCCAAGTAAACTACCAACTATAAATATTAAAAACGTTGAAAGTTTTGAACAAGCCCATCGGGGTTTAAAGATATCCTAAAACTAAAATTGACAAATTAATATTTTAGGTCACTTACAAATTCTGTGATATAACGAATGCCTTGTTTAAAAAAAGTTTGAAAAAATATCCTTATATTTTGTAACTATACTTTTTCAATCAAAAAAAGTCAAAGAAACAATATTTTTAGAGTAATATTAATAGCACATCTATTTATAGATTTTAGCAAATAAAATTTCTACTCTAATACCCTGCTGCATATATCAAATGAATGCACTTACTACAAACTAACCACTTGATTATCTTTATTGTTATTAATATACAACAAAAATCTGTCAGAATCCACTCCACATATAAGTATATGTACAACATTGTTTTACTCACCATAAAACAAAAATATTGATTTGCACACAAAATGATTAAATAATACAATGGAAATTTAGGTTAGGTAGGAATAAAGAAGAAGAAATAATAAAATCAAACAGTATAATTGTGTTTAATTAATTTACTTGATGGGCAGAATTAGTGTGCAATTCAGTAGGTATATTTTTGTTGTAATTTGACTGAAAAAAGGGGATTTAGTTTAGTAAAAGTATTAAATAGGACACCCATATTTTTGTCATATATTGCATGAAAAAATAAACTTTTAGTTACTTGAGTTTTTCTATACTAATATTATAAAGAGGTAAAATTTGTAAGTTTGTATGTAGGGGGTAATCTTTGGAACCGCAGGTCGGAATGCCAAAATTCTTTCGCTGATAGATAGCTACAATGTTCCTGAGTGCTACAAAACATCACGCTACAATCAAATGGAGCCGAGCAGCGGGTGAAACCGCGCGAGACAAGCTAGTATTTTATAAAATACTAAATACTGCATGTTTACACTCACTACTCGGCGCCTTTTGATCGTATTGTGGTAGGCTGATGTTTTATACTCCATACTCTAACTTAGCACTCAGGAAAATTGTAGCTAGGTATACTGAATTTTAGAAACCCGACCAGCGGTTCCAAAGATTTTCCCCTACATACAAGCTTACACCTTTATAATATTTTTTTATGTAATAGGTCGGCAAACGAGCAGACGGATTACCTGATGGTAATCAGCGCCGCCCATGGACACTCGCAACGGAGGAGTTACGAGTGCGTTGCCGAACTTTTAGGGATTAGGGATTTGGAGATTTAGGGATTGAGGAGGGATTGGGGGCGGGGAAGGATTGGGCCTCACTCACACATCGAAACACAACGCTGTGGTTGTTTCACGTCGGTCTTCTGTGAGGCCCTGGTATCACTCCGGTCGAGCCGACTCATTCGTGCCGAAGCATGGCTCTCCCACACTTAAAAGAACTTAGTGTAGATGTCTGCAAACCAAGAGCTGGATCATCTAAAAGTAGAAGGCTATTCGCGGCATCTATGGAGATATTGATGACGTGTAAATGGATAACAACGATAACACTATTACCAAGGCTCCATCTACGTCACCGTTCGACAATACTGTCCGTCCGGTTGTCTGTCTGTTTACATATTACAAGCTGTATTGGCTAACCGTGATTGCTAGACAATTGAAATTTAGACAGGAGATGGATTTCTATTGCCCGTGTAACAACGATTACTCAAAACGGAATAAAATAAAAATCTTATGAGGGCTCTTATACAACAAATGCTATTTTGCGTGTGTGTTGTGTGTTGAATGAGGTTAGCTCGTATTGGTTTTTATTATGTTTAACTTTCTGTTTTTCCTTTGCTACGTATTTCAATCACAAACTTGATATTTGTTTGAATATACATATGTTCGAATTGGTTTCCACCTAAGCCAATAGCCAACCTTAAAAGATACTGTTCGATTTTTAAATAATCAATATTAATTGCATTTAGCAATGTGAACTTAGGTGTTAAGGGAAGGGAGAATTGCGGGCCTTGTTAGTCATGACAAAAAAATTAAACAGGAACTGCAGGGCTATTGAAATTATATGATTACATTTTTTTTATTATTTTTAGGTGTAGGCTTATAACTTACTGAATACAAATACTACTCATATATAGGATCAATACATTAATATTTTTAAGATTAAACAGTAAGTTAAGTGTGGGAGCGCACTGCTTCGGCATGAATTTGTCGGCTCGACCGGAGTGATACCACGGCCTCACAGAAAACCGGCGTGAAACAACCAAAGCGTTGTGTTTCGCCGTGTGAGTGAAGTTACCGGAGGCCCAATCCTTCGTCTTCCCCAATCCCTCCTCAACCCCTAAATCTCCAAATCCCTAAAAGGTCAGCAACGTACTCGTAACTCCTCCGTTGCGGGTGCCCATGGGCGGCGCTGATTGCTTACCATCAGGTAATCCGTCTGCTCGTTTGCTGACCTATTACATAAAAAAAGTAATAGTATTATTGGTATTATAAAGATTGTATAGTATTTTTTCAGTTAAAATATTCAAGTTGATAAAGGAACGTTCGAGAGATTTCCCCATCTCCTCGCACTGAAATAGAAACTGTTTACACAATACATTGTATTGAAATCTCGTAGGCTCATTGTTTCAGATTGTCGTGTCTGTTATTGCGTACCTGCAGCCGGCAGTTTCGTTTAATTGAAAACTCTTCAGTAAAATCATAGATTAAACTTGGTAGAAGAGCCAATGCGAGAACATGCGTTTTTAAATGTGGAAAAAGTCTTTTGAAATAATTGAACACTAGCTTTTGCCCGCGACTTTGTTCACGTGGAATAGTGACTTCCTTCGGTTTATTGGTTTAAAAACTATCCTATGTCCTTTCTCGAGTTCTAACCTATGTCTGTACCAAATTTTACACAAATCAGGTGAGTAGTTTAGGCGTGAAGAAAAGACAGACAGACAGACAGACAGAGTTACTTTCGCATTTATAATATTATTAGATATTAGATTAGAAAGTAATTCCGAGATGTTTTTACTTAAGAGCAGCTGAGATTTGTTTGACTAATTCGTGATTATAATATTACTTAAGTATATAAAAGTAAAAGTTAATTTGTTCTCGCTATAACCTTTGAAGTTATCCACCAGAATCCCCCTCAATAAAACTTTGGATTTTTTTCTATGAGATAGGTGAGCAGACGTGCCATCCCATTACCTGATGGTAAGCAATCGGTGCCACCCATAGACATCCGCAACACTTAATGATTATGGGTTGAATTATATTAGTTATATTAGTGACAAATGCAACCAATATGCAACCGTTTTTATTTTATTATTTTCTGAAATTTTCAATAAATTAACTGTAATTCTAATATTATTGGAAACTACTATTAGCAAAATGGCTATTGAAACTACGTTTCTACAACACCCATCCACGAATGAAATTTGTCTGACCATAAAAAGTTATGCTAACTCATCCAGTAAGTTTAATTCTACTACAATGTTCAATCCTAGCGGGACCTATCCTAGATAATAATAACTTGTTCAGTTACTTGAGTACAGAATAATATCATCTCTTTGTCTCAGCTTTTTCTAGAACGTTCTGTGGCGTTGTTAACTTGAGATAAGTTTATCACACACCGTGCAGTCGTTAAAGACAATATACGGTTGAGAACGATTACACTTTATTATATCTGCGTCCAAATTCTCACTATCCGAAGTTTGATCACACATGTAAGTAGTTTTTCGAGATTTTGAATATCTGGAGTTCCTCAGGGCTCCTATTTAGGACCGTTACTTTTTCATTTATAAGTTTAGTATACTTACCACTTAATACTCGCTTTGTTAACTCATAAGATATTTTATATTATTTATTTTTCATATACAATTACGTATCGGAGAGTTTAAGGCTAACAGTATTTTCCACCAGTCAGTCTTTTGGCAGCACCTAGTAGGTAGTATGCAGTAATACAAGAAATTGTTGAAGGTGAAGTTTTCTATCAGTAAATAACTATATTCTAATTTACTATGTAGGTACTAATTTTATAAAAATAATAAAATAAAGAATTTATATAATTTAACAAGAACTTTTTCAAGAATATTATAAAGTGGAAAATTGTAAAGGAAGTGGGGAAACTGCCATCTTACTAGTAATGTGCTTACGTTCCTTCAACTTGAAACTCAACGTCAGAATTTTCAAAAAAGTACCTACTTTTATGAAGAAAGAAGAATGAGTGAAATTACTGCGATGGACAAGAACATGCCTAAGTTGTTATTTTTAATAAACTTTGCCACACCCTTAATTTTTCTCCTATATCGTGTAAACACCCCGTATTTACAAACATACAAATTAAGACTTAATTAAATGAAATTCATACTAAACGCCCATATTTGGAAGAACAATTTGAGGACCGTACAAAGGCGCCAATTTTGCTAGCAACGTAGTTTTATTATAGTTATCGCTTACATACTGTTTCTTCAGTATTGCATAAGCTGATAAGCTTTCAAACTGTCACTAAATCCTCTCAACAGGTATTACACTGAATACGAAAAAACTGACTAATGGCTTGTTAAAAATCTGAAACTCCCTCCGTGGGATTGCACAACCATGCACGTGAAAAGCCCAACAAAAAAACCTTACCAAATCCAGTGGAAAATCGCAAAACCTGCCGAAACGAATTTATGTAATCCTAAAATCCAGCTTTAACTGGATTTATTAACTTTATTATCTGTTCTAAATCGTCGGCCTTTGTCAGCATCGAAAAAGGATTCAAAAATTCAAAGAGTTCAGTGGAAACTTGTTTAATCCGAAATAATCCAATTAAGAGGAACAAGGGATGTGTTGCGAGTCACGTCACTAGATCGTGTTCGGTATTTAGTTTTTTTACTATACGTACCTTTTTTGTTATGAGGGAATATGCTATATGACTTTTTCCGCCCTGGGTGATGCAAGGAGCATCAGATTTTAATGACCAAAAACTGACTCCTCGCCCGTAATACATTATTACGTTTGCACCCATAACCCTGACTTTATCTCTAATACTTGATTCATGAGTTCCTGAATGGAGGTTAGTTAGAAAATCGTGACTGTATTACTGATGGTTATTTTGTCCTTGTGACATATATGTTATGCTGTGCGGAGTTTAAACTATGGAGATAATTAACTTCTGTTAATATTTTGTTGGAACTGTATGGAGAAATAATTTCCGATTTTACAAATTATTTTAGGCCAGACAATGGAATAGTGGTTTTGGTCGGTAATTGTTTAGCTTATAGCAATGATTGGATTGGCATTGTAGTATGGTACGTGTGAGGTATTACTTACTATATTTGATGTAAGGAAAACTATGAATAATCTATAGGTACCATTACCTATTATAAAGCTTATGCATATACATATAAGAGTTTGTTTGTTTTTGAGCGCGCTTATTTTAAGATCCATTGGTTGAGTTGAAAACATGATTTTATGTTGAATAGGTCATTTATCGAAGAAGGCTTATAAGAGCGAAGAAACCCTTTTTAAGAAAACTTAAAAAAAGAAAAATAACAATGAAAAACGGAGAAATGTATTAATCTTTAAGGGCTAACGATTCAAGAAATCATTTTTTTTATATTTTATATTGTATTAATTCGTTTTAATGTATTAATTCGAAATCTGGACATCATTTTATTGTTATTTCCTGTACACACGACATGAAATGTGTAGGTTCTCAAATGAATGCACTATCAAAAGCAGAAGACGGGTGAAAAAATACTAGGAAAAAATCCTAACATCTATTCACTCCGTTTTACCGTAACTATAAAGAATCTGATTTAGGTGATTTAAAACGCCAAGTAATTAAATTATCTTAGTAGATATACCTTTTACATTTAGGTAAATCGAAATTCCATTTAAGTTGAGTCAAAATTGGCAATGTTGATGAAGTTTCCAAGGTGATTTCGGGGGTACAGCTATTTCCCTATCAATGGTACACAGTTCACACAAAGGATAATTGATGTTGGAATCCAAGGCTTTTGAGAATTATCGCCCTAAGTATGCCCAACAGGGTTTAAGTCAGAACTACGTATTGGTTCTCTTTGATGGATACCTATCCACTAATTAGAAGAGCTTGAAATTGTTACAATTGATGTTATGGAGGCCCACAGGTCAAGGTTCTTCGTGCATGATAGAGGAATTGGATTTCGCCTAGTGCCGATGTGAGTTTTTCCGAGTTGCCTGTACTTTCTAAAACTTTTTAGACACCACTGACATTTGTTGAGGAAAAACATTGTAAGGAAACCGGGCCGTCTACTTCAATTCAACGAAAAACGAAATTTCCTATTAGTATTGAACGGTAAATGTAAAAGAAACCAAATTAGCAGAAATTAGTATGAGAAGCTCGAATTAACTATTAAAAAATCTCTAAGCCTACCTACTCTAATTGCACTCAGATTACGAACAAAGTTTGAGTTTGACCGGTTTTTTTTAGAATGAAGAAAATAAATAATTGTTAAAAACATTAAGTAAATGTCGTTAGGTGTCCGGTTACACATAGCTAAGTTGTTCCAAATACACTACATGGGACCATGAGAATATTCATTACAGAACAGAGCGATACTGGCAACAAAATTCTAGAAAAAGTTAAACCCGGGTCTAAGTGATTTTTTGTTTGTTTGTTCATCAACAATTTGTGGATCACACAAAGTGTTGTTCTGTGTAGGAATGAAACCTGTGTCACGCTGCACAGCAGCAAGTTATCAAATACGTACCTATTATTCCAAGTGCACAAATTTTGTGTTATATATATAAATAAAGTATGAAACTTTTATTAAGTAAACACTCCTCTTTTATTTCCACATTCATGAAGACTTATTACCGAAGACTTAAAGCTTTAATTAATTAACTGCCTAAAACCTAACTTACAAATTATTGTTAATTTCGCATTTCTTTTTAAAGACCGCCATGATAAAAGTAACGCAAATTAACGAAGAAAAAATAATACAAGTACTCTTAGTGACTAATTAGAGTAATTAGGATATTTCTACAAGGTCAATGGTAATTTTCTTTTCAATTCAACCAAGAAGAGCTTGTTACAATTTTCGAGTTTTTTTTTCGTTCTTTCTTTATAAAATGTTTTCACAACGCCTGCAGCCGAATTTTATGTTTACTAAAAATCTATTCAAAAAGATAATTTTCTGAATTGAATTCCAGTAATCGTGTTAGAGGTGTATTTTTTATATATTTAGGTATTTATTTATCTGAGGTTAATTTATATTCAAATATATTTTAGCTTTACTTTGAATTTAAAACTTACAAATAAAATTCTCGCTGATGGAGAATTGCCAATCAATATAATAAACTTACGAGCCACTATAGTAGATTAACTTTGTTTTTTTATTTAACATTTTATATTAAATACATTACTCTTACTTCAAAACGTTTATATACTTTGAACCACCTCAAAAAATCAACATCTTTTCCAAAAATTTTATTAGTAACTGCTTTGTTCTGTGTCAGAATGGACCGCACGGTTGGTGCGATGGCTGGCCAACTGGCTACCGATTCGACGGAACAACTCTTTGTGTGATCCACAAATTGTTCAAGGTTTGGTTGGAATGTGTACCTAAGTGAAATTTTATGTTTGTAAACGAACTCACGACATAGGAAAAATGCCTGTGTGTGTAGGCAACGTTTTTTTTTAAGCGAGGGAAAGAAAAAAATAGAGAATCGTTTGTTACAATAGAAACTGAAATTCATATTTCATCTAATTTCATCATCATCAGACTATAAGCCCTCAGCTGAGCAAAAGCCTTGTCGAGAAGATTTGTTTTCTATGTACCTTACACATCTATACTATATTATACGTGCTAATCTCCGGAACTTTTTAGTCCATTTATCGAAGAAGGCTATAAAAGATCACGGTACCATCTGCAGGCGCCGTACAGCGGGTGAAACCGCGCTAGAGTAGCTAGTATATTATATGCATTATGCCTACAAAGAGCATGTCCTTATAAGTAGAGGACGCTGATAATACAACCTTAATATACAGAACTGTTTGGAATTTGACACCAAAGCGTATATTTGACATTTTCGCCAACACCATGCCAGAGAGTGCATTCTGTAGTTTAAATGTCAAAATATTACCACAAAATTAGTTCAGTAAATTAATTTTTAAATTGAATGGAAAATTTACGGTGATAATGTCGCCTTTAGACGACCTGCCCAATGTGGAATCTTTCTTCGGAGTAGACCTGAGAACTGGATCATTGATAGTCGCTGTAATAGGGGTGGTAAGTTTTCAAAATAAAAGAAATAAAGAAAACCATTTATTTTTTACCTGAATAGTGTGTAGCTAGTTATTAAAAACATCCAAAAGGCAGGTAATGTACTTAGAAGTACTGTTTTTGTGTGAGTGTCAACAAGAGGTGTCGATAGCTTGCCACCGGGTGAACTCAACCACCAAATAGAAGATAAGTAGTTCTCTCATAAAAAAGTCAGTTAAGCACTAAGTATTCTATGCTTGTAATATGGAATGTGTTTGCTTAACATCTGCACTGAGATACAAATAAACGAATACCTCGAAGTCAACGAACATTATTTAAAAGAATGAAGTGTTTAGTTCGTGTCTCAACGTGTTAAGGTAAATTTTGTGAGCATTTTTAACACCCGAGTTGGTTCAGTGATCCTAAACAATATAAATTAGTGATGAGACTTGATTTAAAACTGAATGAGAAACATTCAGATAAGAATCTATCGTACCGAATCGGCGCGTCAACATCTCATAAGAATTTTTGAATAGTCGTGAAGCATACAAAATTTATTTAAAACATTACATAGGCGGACTTAATGCCGTAAGCATTCTCACCAGTCAATCTTAGGGTGATGCAGAGAGAGTATGGTAGGTGCAATAAAAAGAGAACTTTGAGACGATAAATTAAGTTTTACATTATATTATTTTATTTATACAACAACAACTATATAGGTATATACAATTTATTGAGAATAACTATTTACCCACGTGAATTTACTGAGAAAAAAATGTACTTAAATTAAATAAGAGTCCCGTTGTGACTTAAAACCTTTAGCTAGTAGAGCTCTTCTTGGTTAATTCACGTGAATAAGTCGTTATTTTTAAACAATCTAAAAACCCCCCCGTTCATTCACCTGCTGCCGATGTCGCGGTGCCTCATTGCGCTTACCCCGCAACCCCGGCTGAACATCAGCCCTATAGGGCCCCGTCTGTGGTGGTCTATTGGCTCTTTGAAGCGCGCGCGGTACGCTACGCGCCGTACACTCGGGTCTATTTTTTTTAAACAATCTAAGAATGAGGTTTGGTTGGTTTTGTTGCACCTTTGCTCCGTTCGGTTTATTTGCGAGCACAAAGGAAGGGTTCAAAGCTATAGGTTTACTGTAGTATTAAGGTTCAAATGTGCAACTCGTGCTACGATAAAGTAATGTTGAAGTAGCCATAGATTTAAATAAAGTTAGTGCCTTATTACTTACCCAATAACTATCACAAGCTCGATTAGCCAGTTGGCAGTGCGACGTCACCGCGACGCGCACTCTGCTGTCGCAGGTACTAGTAGAGCTTATTTCAGTTTACTAAGTCGTTTTTTCAATAAATTAGTCTGTCCTACGATAGTTCTTAAGTAAGTGCTAATCTGAAGTACACAACAAAAGGTATAACAAGAAATTGTAATATACCATGAACATACTATATCTAATTTTGACATAGTACAATATTACGTGACGGATTTACATATGAAAATCTGAACCTTTGGCTTCACAAGCTCCCTCAGGCTTATATAAAAATGGCTATGAATTGTGTTCAAGTATGTATTAATAGGGGTTCAGTATTGCCCAAAGCTTATTTTGGATTATCAGTCAGTTACTTTTTACTTATGACATATTTGACTGTACCTCTTAAGGTAAAAGACGGACAAACACTGAAGTTTTACTTTTTTACTAAAGTGAATTAACTGAGAAATGTTCGACTAGTTTCAAGTCACAACGGGACTCTTATGCATGAGCTGAGTGCGCGTGACGGCGACCAACGTCTCGCAGCCGACTAAAAGTGAAGTTTCAGTTGTAAGGAGGTTTTTGTACATACAGAAAACAATATCCTATCTATTTCTTGAGACAGATAGAAATCTGTTTTCTTGGTGTTTTTGTCCAAGATCGTAAATTGAAATGATGAAATCGATAATCACAAGGATATGTTTCATCGTCCACTTCAAATACGGATCTCTGAAACGTGAAAATAAAACGCTACATATAATTATGAACGGTACATATAAAATGTTTGGAGGCAATCCTATACAAAGGGTCGGTTCACAATGGGATACGTTTCTATGCATCCGTTGTTGCGGATGACGGGAGCAAAAAATTTGATGTGAGATCTAATGTTCCTGCGTGCGTAGCAACAAGGCGTGCGACCTGGTTTTGGGAGCTCTCCAAAGATATTATATTTGTATTCTACAAGTCTATCATAATCTTTGAAAGCTCTCTTATTATTGGTTTTCCCAGTTGACCTTGACCGAATCCGACTAAATGGGACGTAAAATAGTTTAGAAGTCCAAAATTTCAAGGTCACCTAACCGTTGTTATTTTGTTATGGGCGAAATTTGTTCTCTTGAGCATCAATACGATAACAAATGCTTACTGTTTAAGAGTTTTGGGATTTGGACGCCCTGAAATCAGACTTTAGAAATTTAGGCAAAGTTTAGCTCTTCAATTGAATAGTTTTAACTACCTTTTTTATTATAACTTTCGTGAGACATTCTAAATTATTTATTATGTCTAGTCGAGTATCTCGTCAAATTATTACGTGAGTAAGCCAAAAACATAATAAATAGTTTTAACTACCGTTTTAAATATTGGATTCCATCTAGTAAATAATAAATACATAGATATCTTTTAGAAAAAGTACTCTTTTATTTCTGGCAGATTTTTGATTTAACCGCATAGTTCCCGATCTCGTAGGACCTTCAGGAAGTTTTTAGGTATTTAAGAATAGTGGGTTTGAGGATTGAAGATAGGGTATAGGGATGGGCCTCTGGTAACCTCACTCACACGACGAAACACACCTAAGTATTGCTTCACGCGGTTTTCTTTGAGGCCGTGGTATAATTCCGGTCGAGCCGACCCATTCGTGTTGAAGCGTAGATCTCACACATTTAAACGTGTTTTTCACCATTACCATTTTCCAGATCCATCCTATGGTATACGGATGTTCCTGCTTTACACCTATAAGCTACCTCATCGTTACAATATGGATCCTAGTGGCTCTGTTCTTCGCTGCCAGCATCGCTTTATACAGTGGAATAGTTAATGTAAGATAAAATAAACATATATTTTTTATATCTTTTTTTGAACTGTCTTAGGCGTTTGATGGAGAGAAAATACTGTAGTTTAAGTGGATTTAATATATCAGAAAACATTGCTGCTTAGTTTTTGTCGAAACGTCTGCTCGTCAGTTCTACAGCACGGTTCAAGTGGTGGTTCGGCTACCAGCTGCCGTGGAATGTGTTGCAGTTCGGATTCCCGCGTGGAACAACTCTTTGCGTTATTTACAAATTGTTGTTCCGGGTCTGGGTGTGATGTGTATATGAAAAAAATAGATCTTAGGGACATTGATGAGACAAATACACTTAAGTTTCTTACTCAGTCATCAAATGATATTATGATCTGATGAATACTGAGTTGCTTTATTTATTTCCAGGACGATGCCTTACTTTGTGCTATATGGATTTGGTATGCACTGATATTCGTAGTGATTATGCTGATGATGATGATTATGCTGGCTCTGCTGTTCACCTCTCGGAGACAGAGGAGTAGAGTCTTCATCGCGATATTGGGAATGCTTTGGTATATCTGTAAGTATCTTAAGGATATACTAGCTTTTGCCTGCGACTCCGTTCGCGTGGAATAGTAACTGCCTGCAGATTTTTGGTATAAAACCTATACTGCGTTCTGTCTCCAGTTCCAAACTATGTCTGTACCAAATTTCACAGAAATCGGTTCAGTAGTTTAGGCGTGAAGAAAAGTCAGACAGACAGAGTTACTTTCGTATTTATAATATTAGTTTGGATTTGGATTTGATGTTATTGTATTTAGTCGTGGTTGATATATCTTTACACGAAACTTGTGTAAACCAAATATAAACTTGATATTTTATGGATTTTCTTAAATTTCCCGGCTTTTTTGACTTTGCATGTATACTGTTAGCGGCTTAGTTTTGAGTCATATGAAGTTAATAATTCCACATCCATATATTTTTAAACAAGAATGCCAATGCGGCTGGATTTTTATATATTTTTTCTGAAGATTTGACACTATGCTTCTTTTTTCAGTAACAATCTACTTCATATTGGTGGTAAATAGTTATCGCAAAACTATTAATAATAAGGAAGGAATGATAGTTTTGATGACAACGTCATCAACACCATCACCAACAACAACAACAGACCAACCTGACCAGTTAAGTGAGTTAAAGGCGTTACGTAAGGCCAGTGTCGTGTAAAATAAGTAACCAAAATAAATACTGTTATACAAAAAACGTTTTATTTATTTTTCAAAACGGCTTCAGTTAGAGATTATTTTTTATGTAATAGGTCGGCAAACCATCAGACGCATTACCTGATGGTAAGCAATCAGCACCGCCCATGGACACCCGCAAAAACAGAGGAGTTACGAGTGCGTTGCCGACCTTTTGGGTATTAGGGATTCGAGGATTTAGGGATTGGAGAGGGAAAGGATTGGGCCTCATGTAACCTCACTCACACAGGCGAAACACAACGCTGTGGTTGTTTCACGCCGGTTTTCTATCAGGCCGTTGTATCACTTTGGTCGAGCCGACCCATTCATTGTTACTAGATCTTTCCTGATTTGCATTGGTTATAACTTCTAACTTTACTGACATCACTAATCATTTGTTTATTTTATCTAGTACTGATATCATTTTACACTGTTTTTTTTTTAATTAATGTTCCGTCATGTGGCAGAACTATCGTCATCATCAGCCTGAAGAAGTCCAGTGCTGAACAAAGGCCTCCCCTTTCTTGGAGACAATTATTTACTTAAACTTAACAAGCCTTACCAATAAAAAATATTGAAATTTATAATAATCATTTTATTTATTACTAACTATACGTTATATAAAATAAGTATACAAGTTAGGAACCTCAGAGAATACTTTTTTTAACAAACTTAATTATATCTTCTGATGTTTTCACTCACTTTTTGATGTAGTTTTTATTCAGTAACAGGTGCGACTTGAGTTTTTTTCTTGATTGTAAGCCAGTAGCCGTAAACTACCATTATGAAGTACGCCATGACCACTGAAACAAAAATAAAACCTTATCTATTAGTTGGAAAATCCCAAAAAACCAAGTCGATACTTTTTTCGAAATGTTTTTATTTATGTGTCATTAGTAGGCGATTGAGCAGACGGATAGCTTGATGGTAAGCAAATAAGCGCCGCCCATGAACATTCGTAGTACCTGCAAGTGCGTTGCCCGCCTTTTGGGGGTTATTAGGGATTTAGGGATAGGGGATTTGAGGTGATGGAGGGGGTTGGTACAATTGGACCTCACACGGCGAAACACTACATAAGAATGGCTTCAGGCTTGCTTTCAGTGATGCCATGGTTTCACTCTGGTCGAGCCGACTCATTCATGTCGAAGCAAGGCTCACCTACACTTCAAATATGTGAAATGGTAATAATATAACGTGAATTTTATGTGAAATTCTAACGTCACAATATATACTAGCTACTCTCGAGCGGTTTCCCCTGCTAATCGGCTCCTACACAGCGTAGCGTGATGTTTTAGAGCCTGTAGCCTTCCCCGAAAAATGGACAAAAAACTCTTAAAAAAGTGTTTGATTCGTACCAATAGTTCCGGAGATCAGACCGTTCAAACAAACAAATAAGTCAACTCTACAGCTTTATAATTTTTAATAACTACTTAGCGACCCAATCTGGCTTCGAACAGGTGCAATGCTGATACTAAATTTCTCCACTATTTAATGGATGTTATTATACACATAAAACTTTGCCTTCAACCACTCTATCTATTTAAAAACCCGCATCAAAATCTGTTGCGTTTTTCAAGATTTAAGCATACATACATAGGGACAGAGAAAGCTACTTTGTTTTTTACTATTTATATATTTTCTTTTTATTTTATTTAGGGACTTTTGTACAAGTATACATGCCAGTCCCATCGGACCTTATGTCTGAACCATAAGTCAAATAAAATTAAATATAACTAATATATTATGATAAACATATATATTTTGCATCGAATAGCACAATTTATTGTTTACCAAAATGAAATTCGAGAAAATGAGAGAGAGAGTGTGATTATTTTTGATTATTTTGAATGCAATGGAAAAACGTCCAATACATTTTTTTGTCGTCGAAAACTACCTCCTCTGCAATATCACAGGGACCTTGAAAATGTTTGGTCGCACGCAATGGCACGTGCAAACTCCATGAATGAATTAGGACTATTATGTATATAAACATGTACACTTATGTATATGTTTATATCATTGGTATTAGTGGTTGGATTTAACCTTGAAGTCCTATAACATAAAATGTATGGAGACATTCATTGTTTCGCATCTTTGGTTTCTTTTTCATAGTGGTTTGGTTAGTCTTAATTTCTCTGGAACCATCTCTGTGTTATCAAAAAAAAAAAAACACCGAAAAAAGCTGCTCATAATATCTTCTCCATATAGCTCATAATAAGCATTCATCACTACAATTACTCAAGGCGGATTGGTGATTTAAATCTTATAAGGTAGAAAGAATACTAATATATTGAAAAAAAATCACATTGATACCTATTACCTTTCAGTTTTTAACGCACAGGACCTCAAACTCATTAACGATAGATTGAATTTATGACGGCGATACTAGAGACAAATGAAAAGTTGTTCTTCTAGGTCATACACAACCTAAGATAGGTAAAAGTGAATAGCATTATTAGAGTGGCATGTATTTTTAGCTACAAATAATTGCTACCTTTGAAAATCACCAATGATGTTAAAACGAGCGTACTACCGAAGGAACGTGCAGTGCAGCAGTGTTTTCTGACCTACATGAGAAACATGAGTTCCATTTTTAAGCAAAACTTCACTACTAAATTACATTTAATTTGTTAGCAGTTGCATCATCAAATATAATTAATGAGCTTATCACAAGGTGTGTATACTTTAGATAACCTTTAGATTGTAATTTAAACGAAACCTGTAAATGGTCAGTGTAGTGTACAATAAATTAACCAAAATAAAAAATATCCCAATAGAACATTTTAAAAACTTCAATCAAAATTCAAAAAAATATATTTAAAAATATGACCGAAAACATTTTTACTAAGTACTATATACCCTATCTAGTACAAATTCTGAATATTAATACCCACTGAAAAAAGCCCAAAGGCGAACACTTCTAAGAAATAAACTTGTTTTACGTATGTACGTACTGTAATAATAATAAATAAATCAGCTTTCAGTATCCAGCATTCCGGGAAATAACCCTTCCTGAAACGTCCATCTGGATTATTCACGGCAGTGATTCCCGCTTTCAGAAGAAAAGCTAACATAAGATTTCAGATTAAAGCGTTTAAATCTAATAAATTCATCAAACATTGTTTTTTTTTTGAAGTTAGCAAAAATAGCTATGAATATAATGTCATAGTAGCTCGGAGGTAGATATTCGATTCTCGAGCATAAAGGTTTGAAACTTGAGTTAAATTTACTTTCTAAAATGGCTTGGACATCACTGATCGTTAACCAACCAGGACTTATAGTTTCTAATTATAAGTTTGAAACTGCCAATTCCCTTGAGTAAACGTAGTGATTAATGCTCATTCCACCTTTACTTAGCTGTAGTGCAAATATAAGTAGATGATTATTGAAGTAGAATAAAATTTTTATTTAAAACTTTCAGTGCGTTCGCGATCCGAACTGACCTTTAGTTTATCAAATTGTTCTATTCGTATATATGAGAAGTTATTACAGCAAAATATTTTTTATTTGCAAGAAATACATAGTTACAAGAAAAGATCTTATAACTTAAAAGTAACAGTATTCTGCCTGCAAGCAAGCGTGCAAATTGTCGTTGAACTTGGAGTACGCAGAGAAAAGGTCACTGAATACTACTTCCAAAAGAACACCATTTACAATAAAAACTGTTGACGTAGTAGACGAGTAAGTATGTTTACTTATATGTATTTGTAGAGTGACGAACATCAGGCACAAGGCCCAGCGTCAGCCAAATGCTTTATGTAAGACTGTCCAATAATAAACTCAATGAAACAATGAATTAATTTTTGCAAATAGGCCATAAAATACCAATTTTACACGGAAACATTATATGAAAAAAACTAGTTGAAGCCGGCATTTTTTCTGTCTGACAACTCTTGGGAAGGAATACCGAAACAAACTCAAAGGTCTTTCAAGTCCGGACAATGTAGGTACCTAAATAATAATGTGTACCTAAGAATAGTACAGGTTCATTCTGTAGTGGTCTTTTGAGGAAAGAACAACTAAGACTCGTTGTGAAGAAGAAATATTTGTTTTATGTGACCAACATTTGCAAGTCATTTTTTTGTTTGAGGGGAGGGGGGAGGAGAGAAATATTTAAATGGCTTCTCCGGGTAGAGTAAAACGGAGTGTCAGACTTCATGACTAAAAACCACTCCGTTTTTACTTCTGCACCGGACCATGATACATTGTTGCGCTGACTCCGCAACCCTGGTTGGTGAGATACTCTTGCTCACCGCCAGTAGACTTGCGTTAACGGTGGTCGGAGATCGTCCCGAACAGCTGGGGCGTGACGAGGACTATTCAGCCCAAGAGGCTCATTTACCTATGCAAACGCGACCCGACGATGACACGAGGCGAAAACACAAATATATGAACATTATGAGCAATGTATGACAAACCACCGGATGCATCGCAATGGGCCGCATAATGCGTCTTAAATGAGGTCGGAATCTCTGGTACTAACGAGAAGTTCATCAATGTTCCGATCATAGACTGTTAATTTGTAGATTAAGGCCAACGCTTTAGATTGAAGCTTTATGGAAATTAGAACTGTGATCAATTATAACGTTGAATTAACACAGTAAACGATGTATGGATCAATTTCAAACCTTGTGGTGTGAGGAATATGATTGAAATTTGTTGATGGGTAACAGCGGTTTAGGTGTCAGGAAACATTGTCTTTATCTGGATTTCTGCTATATCAAACTTTATTTGAACGACTTTAAGTTTGTTTTGCGTTACTCGTATCTTAAGAAAAGCAAAGGCATACGACTATTTTCCAGATCTATCACACGCTTTTGTTTGCGGAGAAATGTGATACTCGATAAAGAAAACCATCATATAATATTGTGTCAATACTCCTTTTTATTGAGAACAGTAACTATTATCTCGCCCCTACTTCACACATATATCCAACTATTTTCTCAATAGATAATTCCCAGCTTGCTTCTACTTTTCAAAAAAATCCTTCATTTAATCAACTTCTTCTGACAATAACAATTTTATTTTCAAAATGGCTCTCTTCTTTTTGTTGTATTTATTACTAGCTTTTGCCAGCGGCTTCGCCCGCATTGCATGTTGATAAAAAGCAACCTATGTGTTAATCCAGGGCATCATCTTTTTACATAACAAATCGGTCAAGCCGTTTTTGCGTGAAAGGCTCACAAAATTTCACATTTATAATATTAGTAGGATTGTCAGGAGAAGGTTATGAAAGAACATTTAAGAAAATAGAGGAGAAAATGGAAAATACTGACACTTTCGTCAGGTCGGCCCGCTCCTGGTCGGATGGGTATTGTATATCCATCCGACCGGATGATCCGACCAGGAGCGGGCCGCTAGTATTAGTAAAGATTTTACTGTCAAAGATGGTATACTCACTATAAGCTACAATAGCTCCGAGGAGTGCGGCCATCCAGGCGATGCTTGTGTCGGTGATATACATACACAGCAGAACGATCACCAGCACCAGTGACTGCGCCCACCACAATCCAGTTACTACCACCCAAGACAGCACCACTGATGATTTTTCCTGAAACATTTAAATAACGTGTATGTCGACGTATATATAGAGGGTAGATGATAAAAATCAGCTGGTGATGTCACAAATCCTAAATCACGTAAGTTTACGTGCTATAGAAAACCCCAACGTACAGCTATCTGGCAGTAGCCCGCCAAGAATGATCACCGCGCCTGATTGAAGGATGCTGTCTTTTCTTAACTTCATTAACTTTAGACCCTGCTCCTAGCACTAATGACTTTTGTTGGATACATTTTGACAAACGATTATAGTAGATTTTTATATAAGGTATTTGACTTGTATAATATCCAAACTAATGTTATAAATGCGAAAGTAACTCTATATGTCTGTCTATCTGTCTCTTCTTCACGCCTAAACTACTGAACCGACTTCTGTGAAAATTGGTACAGACATAGTTTTGGAACGCGAGAAAGGACAAAGCATAGTTTTTTAACCATAATACTGGAAGCAGTCACTATTCTACGCGAACCGAGTCGCGGACAAAAGCTAGTACTTAACAATGGTCCAAACCTTTATACCCCCGACCGGCCACGCACCCGTAATTCCTCTAATGTTACGGATGTCCATGAGTGGCGCAGATTGCTTATAATCACGTAATATGGGTCGCTCGTATGCGGTCATACCTCAATTTGCATCCAGATGCATGTATCACAAACATAATTATTTAAATGCACATACAAACATATCTTTATCTCCATCTAAAACCTCCTTTAAAAGATATAATTGAAATTACTACTTACATTTTTAACACCCCAGATAAACCAGATATTGATAAAGATCATAAATATGCAGTAGATAACAGCGTGGATACTAAAGCTGTATGCATTGTGCATCACCAGATCAGTGCACGTCTTACAATCCTTATAATAGAGGATCTCTACGGCAAAGCTTAACACACAGATGAGGCTGATGATCTGAAAAAAGGTAAGGAAGTTGTAGTAGTAGTACTTGGTAGTTGAGGGTCAAGCGCAAAAATGTAACGTGCCTAGAGCAGGAAAAGAAACGAAATAGATTTTTGTCAGTAAGAGTTGGACTTTACACGCATCTAGGGCAATTAAAGTCAAAAAACGATTCCTCGCCCTCAAAAAGCTATTTGTAGTTATTATGTAAGGTAATTTAGTAGTGTTATAAAACAAAGGTTAAGATGTATATATATCGAAAGTCTCTCTTTGTCATTGCTGTTATTGTTGTTACTTTAATTATTTTTGTTTTCTTTTAGTATAATTTCTTTTTAGTACTTTGAGTTCATTTTATACTAGGTTAAGCCTCACTGTCGTATTGGGAACATAACCTGTAATGAGAGTGTAGGAAGATTTTTTGTAAAAAAAAAAAAGTTGATCAAACAAGCTACTCATAATTCTTGTGCATTCACAATAACTTTCCTCTTGCTGACTTTACTGATGCTGGTAGAGTACTCGCGGTCTTGGGAGTGATGGTAAGCTCATAATCACTCCTTAGCCATTGATAGGTAGCAAATTCAGTTTGATCGGTTGAAGTAATTTTTTTTTAATAACTAACAAGAATAGAGTACTTTTTTTCTTTAACGTATTTGGAGAAAGATTCAGTATTTAAATAATATGTCTATAATACACTGGTATTTCAGGCGAAATTTATACAGATATCATAAGGTGCTTTCAGGAAGGTATATAATATGATAATTGTATATACACTCAAAAAGGTAAGTATACAAATCAATAAAAAGCTTACCAACGTAATAATACCTATAATCAAAGAACCTTTCTGTAATGTGAATCTTCCTAGGAACGACTTGGGAGCAATTTTCTTTAACCACATTTTTCAATAATTGTTTGTTTTCTTTTTACATGTGAAATGTATCAATGAAGTATCTCGCAACCATCCTGATTGTTTGTTTATTAGTTATTTTTTTCTCGTTGGTTTTCAACATCTTCAGCCTTAAGCAATTTATTTCTGAGCTATGGACCTTCGTATGTAAGTAGGCAGGTTATGAGGGAAAAAAATAGAGATAGGCATTAACGATTAACATCAAATTTTAAATTTAATTTAATCGGTAAAATTTATTTAATTAAATTTTCACAATGCCAATTTTTTTATGTAATCTGTAATCTTCAGTCGCCGAGTCGCGTGCCGCGGAATGCTGCTCATGAATATGGGCCTCCAGCATAACTTGAAACTAGTCGAGTATCTCGTCAAATTATTACGTGAGTAAGCCGAAAACATAATAAATAATTTAGAAAGTAATAATAAAAATCTGTAATCTTAACTTTAACTAAGTAGTATAGTGCATGCTGTGCTCACCTATAAGAGATTGTTACACAAGTATTGTATTATGATGAATGTATTTAATATTTTATCGTGTAAAAAATTGTTGGTGAGCCAAATAAATAAATAAATAAACGATAGGGAGAAATTCTTACTGACTAAAAACCACCTCATTATTTTTCGTGCTTTAAACCGACTCATATTATGGTGCTTGTAACCGCAACGCTGGGTATCGGTGTATATCACGTCGTCAGTGTGATTGTAACTTCACGTGAATGTTATCAAATTGCAGGTATGGTAAGTAAATGTAACGTGTGACTACGCCTTTCAGTATTCTGAAAATCTTGTTTTATACTTTTTCATCGTCGATTTTTGTTGTAGTTGAGTTTTAGTTTTTATACTTGTTTCTTGGTTTTTGCTGTTTAAGTAATTAAATGAAATACTTATTAACAAAAAATATATTTTAATAGTGACTATCGTGGGACATTTTTAATTTATTGAAAATAACGACTTACTCCTTATTAAATTTTGATTATGTGGTTTCATACCAGCTTTAATTCTCATAATAAAGATTTGGGCTATGGCTCCAAAAAAAATCAATTATTTATTTTATTGGCATTTGTTTTATTTCCTTATTTCACACAACATTTCCTATTACATATGATACCAAATATTGTTGTAAGGTCAAAATCATATTTTGTTTGTTAAACTAGCGATTCACCCCAGCTTCGCACGAGTGCAATACTGAATACTCCACTATATAATAGAATAGTCTAGAATCACTCTATTCATTAGCACAACACATCAAATATGATATAGGGACAGAACAGTGTGGGAGAGCCATACTTCGGCACGAATGGGTCGGCTCGACCGGAGTTATACCACGGCCTCACAGAAAACCGGCGTGAAGTAACCACAGCGTTGCGTTTCGCCGTGTGAGTGAGGTTACCGGAGGCCCAATCCTTCCCCGCCCCCAATCCCTCCTCAATCCCTTATCTCCAAATCCCTAATCCCTAAAAGGTCGGCAACGCACTCGTAAATCCTCCGTTGCGGGTGTCCATGGGCGGTGCTGATTGCTTACCATCAGGTAATCCGTCTGCTCGTTTGCCGAACTATCACATAAAAAAAAGAAAAATATTACTAAATAGGGACTGAAAAAGCGACTTTGTTTTATATTATGAAATATTTATGTAGAAGACAAAAAGAACAAACAAGAAATTTAAATTTCTGAACATATTATTTGTTCTCTTCTACATTAGTCAAGTTCATGGGCGACACTGAACACTAACAATACCGCTGACTCATTTGCCTGTTGCACCATAAAAAATAAGGAACTACAAGTTAAAAGTTTTCTAGTTACTCGACAAAATGGAATGTCTGAACAAATCAACGGAGAAAGGCATTCCGAACATGAAGTAAGATAATTCAGTTGATGTTGCAATGTTAAAGTGTGTTTTTAAACGTGACGTTAGGAATTTTACTTAACGACGTAGTTTATTAATTTGTAACTGAGTTTACACTAGCTCTTGCCCTCGAATTTGTTCGCGTGGAATAGTGACTTCCTGCAGATTTTTGGTTTAAAACTATCCTATAGCCTTTTTCTAGTTCCAAACTGAGTCCCGAGCGTACGGCGCGTAGCGTTCCGCGCGCGCCTCTAAGAGCCAATAGACCACCACAGACGGGGCCCTATAGGGCTGATGTTCAGCCAGGGTTGCAGGGTATGCGCAATGAGGCACCGCGACCTCGGCCCAGAGCAGGAGAAGGAACGGGGGGTTTCTAGTCTGTAAGTGTCTGACACTTCCTCCCGCCCGGCCCTGGGCGGGAGAAGTCATTTGATGATATTCCCCTCACAAAAAAAAAAGTGTCTGACACTCCCTCCCGTCCGGCCCTGGGCATGAGAAGTCATTTGACGAATTTAACTCACAAAAAAAAACTCAGTATATGTGAAGAAAAGGCAGACAGATAGAGTTAGGTACTTTCGCATTTATAATACCAAGTTTGGATACTTATATAATTATTATGCTAGTTTAAGTCTTTGGTTTGTGATCATAAGTATAATTGTCGAGGGAAAAGCAATTCGTTGCTCGGATTGGGGATATTATTAGTTTCTTTAGATTTTCGATGTAGTATAGAAATAAAAATGGTAGGTTAAGTCAGCATTTCTAGTTTAGTCATCACCTTGTCAGTCTGTAAGTTTTTACTGCTAAGCAAAGGCCTCTTCTTACACGAAGAAGGTTTGAGCATTTATCACCACGCTTGCCCAAGGCGGATTGGCGATTTCAAACTTATAATTAAAAATTACGGTGTCTAAATAATCATAGAAAGTACATGTAACTCGGAAAAAGTCACATTGGTACTTACCAGGTTTCGAAACGTGCTTGTTCCTCCTCCTCATGCATGAGAAGCGGGTGCCTAAACCTCCAGGCCACCACGACAACAGATCAGTAATACCTTGCTTATAATCTATACTAATATTATAAAGAGGTAAAATTTGTAAGTTTGTATTAGGGGGTAATCTTTGGCACCGCTGGTCGGATTGCCAAAATTCTTTAGCTGGTAGATAGCTACAATGTTCCTAAGGGCTATAAAACATCACGCTAAAATCAAATGGAACTAAGCAGCGAGTGAAACCGCGCGGGAGTAGCTAGTGTTTAAAATTTTTATTATGTTTGATTCTGCGCGAGTGATACTGCAGTTTGATACTGCAATGCCGTGCGACGTAGTGTGTGAAAAAATCATCATTAGTAACAAAATCATATCATATAAATACAATCATCCCCTAGCTTTCCTGTTCTAATTTATTATATCTTAACTTTGCTCGGGTTTGTCTAATAAAACAATGAAATAATGAATTTATTTTTGCAAATAGGACATAAAACATTTTACACCATAGGCACTTTTACACGTCAAATTATATGAAAAAAAAACTAGATGAAGCCGGCATTTCCTATATTGTGTCGTGGGTGCGTTTACAAACATACAATTTCACATGCACATCACACCCAGACCCGGAACAACAATCTGTGGATCACACAAAGAGTAGTTCCGTGCGGGAATCGAACCCGCGACACGTTGCGCGGCAGCCAGTTGCCCAGCCACCGCGCCAACCGTGCAGTCAAACTCTGAGAAGAAATACCGAAACAAACTCAGAGTGCAGTCTCTTTTCAAGTCCAATTAATATAGCGTGGTTCATCTCGGCTACGTTAATCATAGTTAGAAGTCAGCTCAAGGTTATAATAAAGTCAAGAGTACCCTTAATTTAATAAATGTAAATCAAGTTTTAGGAGCGTTTTTTTTCTCAAGTAATCTGTTTTCAATTATACATTTTAATATACCCTGTTTATGTTTACCAAAACAAGATTTTAATAATCAAAATTAAACAAAATTATCTATTAATGAAAAAGTGCTTCAATGTTATAACGATATAAGTATATTAATTAGCATAAAACAACAATACTAACAAACAGAGCGATATAGTTAACTACTGGTATCTGGAAATTTTCTACTCAAGAGGATTTTTATTAACATTAGGTTTTTAAAAAGAATAATAAGAATTGTAAAAAGTAGTTCTTGGCGCTATGGTGACCTAACACTCTTTTCGCGTATATGATAGAATATGGTTCCTATGGTAATTTAAAGTCTCAAAATGTAAAGAAAATATCTATATTGCACTAAATCACTACAAAACTTATAATAGTTAGAATCTACGGTTTTGAGCGCGTGTAGCTCTAATGAGACCCGAACGCGAACTAGTCTACATTTTGGTGGATGAGCGAATGTGCATATGTGCAGTCGATTAAAAACTCGAACAAGAATTATAGTTGATACTGCTCTGGGTTTTTATGGACCAGGGCGGCAGTTGAGCCGACGCATAACCTGATGGTAAGCAATCCTCGCCGCCTATGGACAAAGGATACTTGCAACGCTATAGGAATTTCCTTTGAGTGTTTATTGTATTTCTGTGAATATTTATTGCTTTTATGTTATAAGATGGCAAACGAACAGACGGATTACCCGATGGAAAGAAATCAGCTCCGCCTATCGACACCTGCAGCAACGTCAACGTGAATAAGTTGTTATTTACTTTATAAAATTAAGTTGGGTTCCTGCTAAAATTTCATCAGAAAAGCGGGAACTTGAAAAAGTATAAAATCCACATCCACGTGGGTGGAGCCGCGCTTTTTTAATATAATATCTAATAAAAAAGTGCGTTTTATTTGTAATAGAGATACCTACTATTAAAATTGCGACGCCCCTGCTTATACTTGAAAGAATAAAACATGATACATTTATTTGGATTGACGTGTAATTGACGTAAGGTAACAATAAATTAATTAATGGCTTTCACTCTCCAATATTATGGCTTACAAATTAAAGGTAAGTTCCATTGTGTTTCATAGTTTCCTCCCAACTCGTTTAATTAATATTATGCTTTAAATATACATGTAGAAATTAGCTTTGTATAACAATTCTATTATATTTGTGTCTTATATTCGACAAAAAGAAGCGATAGACATAATTTTAATACAAGAAGCAAATATAAGCTGGCTGTGCCACGATTCCGTCTGTCCAAAGTACAGAAATCCTTTATGTAAATATGTATGGTGTTCTGTGTAAATTGTTACAATAAAATTCCAAGTACTGTATTGAATCTTAACGAACGAAAATTTTAAACTTATATTAAACGCGAATTGTGTAGAAAGGCATACAAACTTTCAGATTATATTGAGGATAGGAATGCCTGGCAGTGTGTTGATTCGGCTCACTGGACAATACTCAAATACAGTCAGTAGTTAGGTAAAATTCTCAAAAATAATGCATCCTTAATTTATATATCCAAAAAGTTTATATAGAAGCACTCTTAAAGATTGTGAGTACGCATATGTGAGCGCCATGTTCGAGACGACAAAGGAGTAAAATTTTATGATTTGTTCTTTTTTTTAACAACTTGTCTCTGCATTTTTCTCGCATAAGGGTACAATAATGTATACCATAAATGTTATATTATTGACATTGTAAAACATTTTTTTTTAAAGAGTAACAAATGAAGTTTCTTGCTCGTTCTTCTCCATTCGAATCTACAATTTGGAACGAGCACCTAGCTTCACTGACGAACAGACTGACAGACTACTTTTCTATTTTGACGTTTCAAAAGTACCTATTTATGGTTTAGTTGGAATAAATGATTTTGACTTTGACTTTCACATTATAGGTGTGTTCGTATCTAATCTTATGTTCTACTATTTCTATACATATTCGGTCCTTATAAAAGGAAACAACATATCAGTGCAGGTTTCCTCACAATGTGTGTCAACAAAAACTAAATATCTTCACCGTATCTCAGTAGTGTTTAAATAAGTGTGGGAGAGCCAAGCTTCGGCACGAATAGGTCGGCTCGACCGGAGTGATACCACGGCCTTACAGAATACCGGCGTGAAACAACCCACAGCGTTGTGTTTCGCCGTGTGAGTGAGGTTACCGGAGGCCCAATCCCTCCCCTTCCCCTATCCCTTCCCAATCCTTATATCCGCAACCCCTATCCCCAAAAGGCCGACAACGCACTCGTAACTCCTTTGGTGTTGCGGGTGTCCATGGGCGGCGCCGATTGCTTACCATTAAAAAAAGACTTATACATTAAAAAAAATCATAGAAGGTCCATATAACTCCGAAAAGTCACATTGGTACTCGTAATTGCGAGATTTCGAACCGTCATGCATAAGAAGCGGACTCCTAACCTCTGGTCTACCACGACCTTCATGTTGACGGATGTTTGTTTACCAAAACCTTATTTCTAGTTTACTTTCCAATATCCCCTTCAAAGAACCAACCCTTATTTCATAAATGTTTAAACAAAAAACAATGTTTAAAATGTGTACACCTCATTTATCTTGTTTGTTTAGCCGACACCTTACCTTTTAGTAGTGTTATGAGGTCGATAAAGATAGGTCGTATGGTATCAATAGAAAAATTGTGTAAAACTTCGTGTGGATACATTAAATCCTGGACCTGTAGGTAAGAGTTATTTATTTGACATTGATTCTGCACCTGACTGCACGGTTGGTGCGGTGGCTGGGCAACTGGCTGCCGTGCAACGTGTCGCGGGTTCAATTCCCGCACGGAACAACTCTTTGTGTGATCCACAAATTGTTGTTCCGGTCTGGGTGTCATGTGAATGTGGTATTGTATGTTTGTAACCGCACCCACGACACAGGAGAAAATCCTGTGTGGGACAACGTTTTTATAAAAAAAAGAAAAGAAAAGAAAATATAACTATTTGTTAATCAACTAAGGAATGAGCAGCAGTGCTACGTTTTAGTGAGTATTCTACAAGTAAGTGCTTCCGTAAATATACTTGACTTGTTAATTCTACATTGCAAAGTCCTTATAAAACAAAGTCGCTTTGTCTGTCCCTATGTCCCTATGTATGCTTAAATGTTTAAAACTACGCAACAGATTTTGATGCAGTTTTTCTAATAGATAGATCAATTGATTGAAGAGAACTTTTATGTGTATAACAACATAATGTGTATTAGATAGTGAAGAAATTTAGTATCAACATTTACTCCTCGTCTTCCCGGTGCGAAGCCAGAATGGGTAGCTATGTATAGGTAAATACATAAAAGTTTAGCACAGACAGACATGACGAATTAACAAGATTTTTGTGACTGTAGCGACATCTATCGCACAACAGTAGCAACAGTACCTATCACGTGCAAGCTTCTACATCGCGGTATAAGAGTTGCCTGCGCAATTAGAAACGATACAAAATCCCCATAACAACCGTCGGGCAGTAGCCCACCAGACATAAAAGCCGTCGTCTGGTCGGAGAATCCTCCCTTTTCAATGGAGGATGAGAAACTTTCCACCCTGTTCTCTCATACCTCTAAAATACCAATTAGCTAATAAAACCCTTCTACAAACAGCGCACATAGTTCTCGAAAAATTGATTCTCAAGACACTCAAAGAATTATATTAAGTTATATTATTATCTAGTTAGTAGTTACACTAACAAACAAGTGAAACTTGCACAGAATTCTTATGAATTAACCTTTAGCGAATAAAACTATCTAGATTCTAGAATAGTTGGCGAATAGCATGTATGAAACACGTGAATAACTTGTAATTTTCTCCTTAACTTGTAGAAATCTGATTTCGTAGAAGAAATAGGTAACATATTAATTTCATTATCTTACCTTGCCAAGCAAAAAGTTTTATCCGAAATAGTTTTAGTTAGACAGCAAGGTCTCAAATTGTATGAACTTTTACAAGTACTCACGAAGCAGTTTCGTTTTAAGTAATAAATTATTAATGTAAATACGATTTGACTGTCGTAAATCATAGTAATGTTAAAATTAAATACAAGTTTCAAATATAAATAATTCAATGAAAATGTAACTGTGGAGTTATAACGAAGGAAAATTTAACAATATAGCCATTTAGGTGATAAATTCATTTAAAAGTTTTGCAGTCTGATAAAATAAACACTGAATATAAAGATGGTCATTACCCAGGCCAAGGTGTTGGAGAACAAATACTCGATAGTCCATTATTTATTATGATATGCCACATATACGACAATCGGCCATTGATAATTTAAAGAATTGATTTCCAATTTTCTCCATATATCTATACTAATATTATAAAGAGGTAAAAGTAAGTTTGTATGTAAGGGGGTAATCTTTGGAACCGGAGGTCGGTTTGCCAAAATTCTTTCACTGATAGATAGCTACAATGTTCGTGAGTGCTATAGGCACACATCACGCTGCGATTAAATGGAGCCGAGCAGCGGGTGAAACGGGTGAATAAAGTTTAAACCTGAATCAAAGTCATGTATCATTTATAACATTAAGGCACTTTTGAAAGCTGTTTTTTTCTTGCGAGAAAGAGAGAGTCAGATTCTTATCGACTATACTATTGATCACCCTTCTTGAATCCGCAGTCTTGGCTGGAAAAGTATATATAGGTACTTAAGGACATAGTGTCTATATATCCGTCCCATAGTGAAACTATTTTCTGATATATTAAATCTTCATGCTTGATCATTTTACATAGATGGACTTATCGCCGGAGGCCTTTTTCCTTTTTTTTTAAACGTTACTTTACTCTATTTTGTCGCGTGCTTGCGTTTACAAACATACAAATTCACACACACAAGCCACCCAGACCCGAAAAAACAATTTGTGGATCACACAAAGTGGTGTTCCGTCCGGGAATCGAACCCTCGACACGTTGCCAAGCCACTGTGCCAACCGTTTAGTCAAATGGGTGCTGTATAAATTTATGGGGAACGAGAAAATGCCATCTTACATAGAAAAATATCAGCAAAAACTAAGTTGTTCAACTAAAGAGTCTAATATATATAACTAAACTTTTTTTTGCTTTCTACATTTAGCTCAAGGATAATGAACAACGTGACAATCAAAGTCGGCACGCTGTTTGACTGTGAATCCATTCAAGAACATTTGGATTACACTGAGAAACATTTTATCTACGATCCAATATGGCGACAGACTGCTATCGGTTGCACCATACTCTTTCTCTTGCGGGATATGTACAATTTCAAGTAAGTAGTCGAAAATCGAAAACCTTATAAACGCATGATTGGCCAAAGAAACTATCATCGTCATCAACATCAGCCTATAAGTGCCCGCTGCTGAGCAAAGGCCTCTTCTCACAGGGAGAATGTTTGAACATGAATCACCACGCTTGCTCAATTCGGGTTGGCTATTTCAAACTTATAATTTGAAATTATAAGTCCAGGTTTCCTCACGATGTTAACCTTCACTGTATGTCAGTGGTGTCTAAATACATGAACATATTAAACTATAGATGATATGAATTATTTTAATAAATATTTACATAATAGACTACAAAATCGTGTGTGTCGTAATCGCGATCGTCTTTTGTTTTATTTACGGTACACTGAGCATTTTGGAAAACAACTGAACCAAACGAAAATTGTTTATTAGTTTTAATCTGCTTATAGTTGGATATAGGTAATCGCAATACTTAAAATGCACCTGTTTGATCAATAATACATTCATAGATAGTTATATATTTTTTTTCAATATTAAGTTACCTCGTCTGTGCTCATTTCGGTCCAAACTATCAACGAAACCCTGTATACAACAGTAGGTACTGAACAATTTGTCATTTAGAAATACAGCACCGATGACATTTTTTTGTCGAAAACAGACTAATGTGAATTACCAATTTTATAGCAATTTTGAACCTTATTACATTCGTGAAATCAAAGAAGAATCACTATCAATCTTCTATTTTCAGTGTTACGTACATCTTCGAGAATCCAGTTTGGAACTTGACATTAAGTCCTTCATTGAAAAATATGACTTATCAGATAAGAAGCGAAGCCGATGTCTACACAAGGTCGATGAGCTTAACCACAGAATTTTTACAGGATTCCTACCCCATTCTTGCTATTAATACTTGGCGGTTTGTATCATTTTCGTTTTTAATTCAAGTATTATTTTGTACGGCTTATTTTTATTTATCTATACTATTTTTACAAAGTAATGTACAGGCGGACTTAATGCCTTAGGCATTGTCTAACAGTCGACTTTTAGGAGATGGAGAGATGAGGATGAGAGTGGCAGGTGAAAATTTTATGACATTACATCACTTAGATTTATGTATGTAATAAAATACACAATACCATGAAAATAATTCGCATTTATCACATTTTTTAAAGTTTAGCTACCTTCAAGGTTAGTTTTATCTTAATAAATGTAGGTAAGATTACTCAAATAAAAAAAAAATGTACCTAATGAATTTTATTGTCTTTATTAATGGAAAGAAAATCTCTCAACAAATATATTTTTTCAAACTAAATAATATTTTTAAATATTATTCTTAAGAACTAGTTTATAAAACATTGGCAAATAAAACTTAAGCCTCTCTGGTCTCATATTAAAAGACAAAGACTACTATAATTCCAAAACAGAATCTCAGTCCCCAGGGATCGACATTAAATGAGCACAACTCTAATTTTTTTATTGCCAAGACTTTTTTCTAAGACATACCTAAATTGGTTTTTGTTAGAAAATTATTTTTGTAAAATACTTGAAATTGTGACGAACAAAGAGGTTTAAGGAGATCAGATCTTTCTGAAGCGAAACATTTACGGGCTTTTATCGATATCCATTCATAGATTAGTATTGAATCACTCGATGATCGATATCTTATTCATTGAAGTATGAAAGACAAATTAATTTGCATCAAACTATTCAAGAATCCTATCTGGAAAGAAATATATAAATCTAGAAAAATTACCTGATGGTAAGCACATTGGGTTAGGGGAAGAAGGATTGGGCCTCCAATAACTTCACCTACATGTCAAACATCTGCAACACCAAAGGAGCAAGGAGTGCGTTACCAGCCTTTGGAGACTAGGGTTTCGGAAATGTGGGGATTGCGGAAGAGAAAAAAGAATTGAGCCTCCGACAACCTCACTCACACGGCGAAATACAACAATATTACAATAAGCGATAAGAAATAAAGTGATAAAAGCATGATTAACTTTCCCAATGTCCGATGTATCAACAACTTTCAAAGAAAGTTAACTGCTGCTCTAAAACAGATACTCATTTGCGCAGATTCGGTTTTCTTCTAAGTCTTAGGGAGAAAAAATTCTTCACAACTTTCTACAGTAAACCGTTCACCAGACCCGTATGGAACTGTCTGTACGCCATGGCTTTCCTTACCAGCCTTATCTTCTACATGCTCAAGCGATGGGAGTTCAGTGTCACTGGCGGTTGGCATTGCAGCTTCGTTTATGAATCCTTGGTGATTATTGGTGGATATTGTCAACATAGTAAGTTTTTTCTCAAAATGATATAGTTTTCTGATAGAAATGATCAATAAACGTGAATAAAAACAGCATGAGTTTATTAATTGTCGATTTTTCGATCAAAACATTTTCATCTGTATATAAACGGCTCGCATCTCATGCATGTACGTTTTAAAGACCAGAGCCCCGGTCTTTTGTTTTTGGCCATCCCTCAAAACACAACTCAATTATTTATTAAAGTCTATCAGATAACCTATCAGATTACAAATGCAATATCGGTCAATCAACGTAAATATCTATCTTTATTGAATAGTAAAGTCCTAATCAATTTTAAATCACTGATTTTATAACCCAATGGATCTAAAATTACATACGAACTTAGTCTAGCATCAAAATTAACTAAAAATCGCGGGTTACTCACGTTTGTAATAGCGTGCGCGGACGCTGCTCATGAGGAAGAACCCCTTTGTGGTTCGAAACTAGTAGAGCTCTTCTCAATTACAAACGTAGGTAACCCGCGATTTTAGTTAATTTAGTATGTCTCACGATAGTTATTATAAAAACATAGTCTAGTATGTTTTCATTCTTCTATATCTAATGCCCTTTCATCGAATAGTTAAGTGGTACATAATTCTAAATCACTGAATTTATAATCATGTAAAATTTCGTTTGCATACGCATTAGATGTAGCACTTTCATAATTCTTCTAAGTCATCCGCATCAGTCTACTGTACGGCTGATCAAGTTCTTTCGTCTGACTTTGATAATATTGGATGTGTCCATAGACGTTGTCGACCCCATATAACCATCAGGTAAACCACCATACAAAATTGCATTCTTCTATAATTCTCTTGCAGTACCACCAATAGATACAAGGCTGCCATCAAGAAGAATTGCTTACTTCATTTTCTTTGTGTTCACTTACATTGTGTACACTTTCTATACTTCGAACCTGCTCTCAAATTTGGTGAATGATAATGAAAATGAAATTGATTTGGAAACACTCGTCGCTACACAATACATGCGGGTTATTGTGGACTATATGATGAGGTCTATTGTTGAGCGTGTGAGTATCTCTTGTAGGTACTTCTACTTAACCGTTTACATCTAAAGTTACTGATTTCATGTATGTAGAGGTTATGCCGCCAGTTTCAAATGTATAAATTGTCAAGCACCATTGTAACTTAGTTTTGTTATATAAAGTTTCAATGATAACACATTACAAAATATACACAGATACCACTTACAGACCATAAAGAAAATTTATTAAAAGTAGTAATGTGTAAAAAATATGATTAATTATAGTCTCATATGTACGCCCAGAACTACGGAGCGATATTCGACAGGTTGATGGCAATGCGCGTGGTGACGGTCATCGAAGGACTGGAGGAGGTGAAGAGGGGGCGCGTAGCTTTACTCTCTGATTATACTACTGTATACCCATATATGAAAAGAGGTAAGTAAGTAGCATATCATTCAAGCAAAAATGTAATAAAAGTAGGTTTAATAAAGTACATTATGCCACAGAACGATTGATTTAGAAATAACGTTTTTTTTTAATGGTTTGACCACTATCTCTCCTAATGATAAGCAATGATGTAACCAACGTTGGAGTGCGCATACGTCTGGATTTGCACTTTGTAAGCAAAGTGCAGAATCAGGCAAAGAATTCCAATTCTTAGCGGTTTTAATAAAAAAAACTGAAAACAAATCGAATTGTGATAATAGGTGGGATATCTGCTACGAAGCAGTGATGTTTTTTCGATTGTCTAGTGGTATTATGATGATGTGAAGAACTAAGGAGATGAAGTTGTATATTTCTCTCTTACATTCTCCGAAATGTATCCGAAAAAAACCAAAAGGCTTGTTCGTGGGCTTGTTCCTTAGCGCTTAATATTCAACGCTTTGAGGATGCAACTCCATGATCTTACTGACAACACGTGGGCCACGTTAGCGGAGGATTTAACCTCAACAGTAATCTATCGGCAGTCAATGACTTAATATTTTAAGAAATACCTACTATCTTCATTTCCAGTTAACTTTTTCCCTGAATATCATTTACCTCATACTTTGGTTTGTATTAAGAACTCGTACTTATAGGCATAATTTTTCATACAGCTTTTGACAACGAAGACATTTGCAAATTGATGTCAGTCGACTTGTTTTCCGGTATCAAAAAGTATTTCCATGCTTCAAAAGAATTTCAATACAAGGAACACTTCAAAATCGGGTAAGTGCTCCCACAAGTTCCAACATTACATCGCAATAACGATATTTTTGTCATTTAAAAAGCCCTAACAATACTATCATATCAAATCTACTTAATATGTAGTTGACTAATGCAAGGAAATTGATACTAATTAAGGGGTAATTTGACTGCACGGTTGGTGCGGTGGCTGGGCAACTGGCTGCCGCACATCGTGTCTCGTGTTCCCGCACGGAACAATTTTTTGTGTGATCTACAAATTGATGTCCCGGTTTTGGGTTTGTGTATGAGAAATTCTATGTTTGTAAACACAACCGTAACATAGGGGAAAATACTAGTCTGGGCCAACGCTTCAATAAAAAAGAAGAAGAAAACAGATTTAAATTTTCTTAAAAAAATATTCATTTGTTTTCAGAACACTCCGCATAAAAGAATCTGGGATATTACAGCGGATAGTTTCGACTGAATTTGAGGAGCCCAAGTGCACAAAAAGCCATCTCATACAAATATCTATGCAGCAAATATCAATACCGATTACTATACTCGCGTGTAGTTATGTCATATCAATCTTGATACTTGTCGGTGAAAGGATTCACTATAACTACTTTATGAGATATGCTGTTTGGCCTTATATAGAATAAGGGGTAGAAATGTCTAGTTTTACTCAACTGTAAGATTCTTCTGCACATAATGATTAAATATTATATGTAGTGTATGTAAATATTATATGTAAGTTTATTTTTCATATATAATTTTATTTATTCTAATAGTATTTATTTATGTAAGTAAGTGTATAAAATATATATTTATCAGTAATATCACGATTTTGCTTGCTTCTTGCACCTACTGTTATCTCTGCATCGCCCAAAGGTTCGACTGGGAGAGAATGCTTGTGGCATTAAGTCCACCTTGTACGCAGATGTATGTGCAAAAGTGTAAATAAATAAAATAAATAATGCTGTAGTTTACTGATTACGTTGAACTACAAAATAAATTTTAGAAATTCTTTTCTGTAATACAATAGTTTAGAACATAGACTACTCATATATTATATTTATGAACGTACGCGTATTTGTTAATTATTAGTCAATATTTGTGAACGCATGTCAACCATTACATATAGTATTTGACAGGATGGATCACAAATGTTTATCAGGTACGAAACACATTAAGGGAAAACTTTTTGTATATTGTCTTATTGTTATGTAATAGATCGGCAAACGAGCTGACGGATTACCTGATGGTAAGCAATCAGCGCCGCCCATGGACATCCGCAACAGAGGAGTTACGAGTGCGTTGCCGACCACTTAGGGATTAGGGTTTTGGAGATTAAGGGATTGGGGAGGGATCGGGGGAGGGGAAAGATTGGGCCTCTGGAAACCTCACTCACACGGCGAAACACAACGCCGTAGTTGTTTCACGCCGGTTTTCTGTGAGGCCGTGGTATCACTCCGATCGAGCCGACCCATTCGTGCCGAAGAATGGCTCTCTCACACTTCATGATTCATCTTTTATAATTATGTTTTCGTCGATTTTTCATTATCTTTAATATGTATTCTGTATTCGGGACGGAAACAAATCCAACGAATCAAAAACCATGAAAATTGGTCTAGCCAAACTCGAGTTATAAGCGTTGTAACAAACCCGTCTGTGTTTTATATACATAGATTTCACAGTCATAAAATATATTATTAAGATAACTCAGTATAGTCAGTAAATAATGTTGTAGTTTATTGACCGTCTCCAATTTTGCTATCTTTTAAAAAAAGCATATGGTATACCTACTTATATTTTTTATTTATTTAACACTTTATGTAATAAAAAAAATAGGAGTTATAGTGTAGGTAGTCAATAACAAAATGAATACTCAGAACTATAAACGACTGCCTGAAATATAACAAAAAATACCTGACATTATTTGTGAATTTTATTGAGAAATTAAATAAGTCACCGCGGTCTCGGCCCGGAGCAAGATAAGGAACGACGGAAGGGGGGGGGGGTTAGTCAGTAACAGTCTGACACTCTCTCTCGCTTTACCCTGGGCGGGAGAAGTCATTTGATGATACTCCTCTGACAAAAAAAAGGTACTATACAAGTATTATAAAAAAGTTTACGACCTTATCATAAATTCCTCATTAACTTATGTGGACATAGTGACTACTAACTCTCTGTCTAAAATTTGTTGAATAAAATATATCATGATGTCTGTCTTCAATTGGATTTAAGAAAGGTCTTTAGTGGTACTAAGGAGGTACTCCTCAATTATATGGTTAATAGCCAACAGGTAAAAGATTTGTCTAACATATCTGCCACATAGGTGACTCTTTAGCCTCAAGCGTTATAGTTTTTTTTTGTGATTTGTCGGCAAACGGATCAGACGGATTACCTGATGGTAAGCAATCAGCGCAGACCATGGACACCCGCAATAACAGAGGAGTTACGAGTGTATTGTCGTCGACCTTTTGGGGGTTAGAGATTTGGAGATCTGGTAAAGGATTGGGTCTCCGGTAACCTCACTCACACGGCGAAAAACAACAATGTGGTTGTTTCACGCCGGTTTGCTGTGAGGCCGTGGTGTCTCTCCGGTCGAGCCAACCCTTTCGTGCCGAAGCATGTCTCCCCCACACTTTAGAGTTGTATAAAATTAATAAAATTTCCCCTGCAACCTTCTTGCAGTCATGTATGAGACAGTGAAGTATGGTGCTTGTATATCTATGATATAAACAAAAACAAAGGAGTCAATAATCTGTAAGGATAGTCTGAGCAGTATATCAGGGTGAAAGCCTGAGCCTATTATGGTTCTGTTAAGCCTCAGAACTTACAACTTCCAGGGTATGTTAGAAGGATTAGGCATTAATGGATCGGGCACTTAGCACTAAGTACTAAGATATAGTTTCAAGAGCGCTTCTTTAACAACGTCAATAAGGTAGGGAAAGGTTCCTTATCGGGACGTAAAAAGTTGCCAGAAAGAGAGAAGAGAAGATAAAAAAAGAAAGAGTACTGTAGGAACACACAGACATATTATGTACATTAATATGCACTGTCAGCATATAAAGAACCTGCGAGTAAGGGCAGCTTGCCGCCCGACCAGAACCAGGCCCGAGCGTACGGCGCGTAGCGTTCCGCGCGCGCCTCAAAGAGCCAATAGACCACCACAGACGGGGCCCTATAGGGCTGATGTTCAGCCGGGATTGCGGGGTAAGCGCAATGAGGCACCGCGACCTCAGCCCAGAGCAGGAGAAGGAACAGGGGGGTTTTTAGTCAGTAAGAGTCTGACACTCCCTCCCGCCCGGCCCTGGGCGGGAGAAGTCATTTGATGATTTTCCCGTCACAAAAAAAAAAGCATATAACGAACTTAGCGTTAGTATGTAACCTAGCGTTGGCAGTTAGTAATAAAACACAGTTGGCACTTAACTCTCAAGCGTAAGCCAACAAACATAATTACACGGTCATGCCGGTTCTAATGTATTCTTTTGGCATAATCAATAACGCTCAGGCTGAACTTGATAACCTGGATAACCAAGTTTGGACTCTGCTGACTGTAAATTAAATGCTGTCTGTACCCACATTTGTTAGCCATGAGGTTTCACTTCCAACTGAAGTCGAGCTTTGTTAAAGATTAAGACTGTTCAAAACCGTTAAGTACGGAATCTCTAAGGATTCCTATTTTCTGAAAACAAACTAGGGTATGCGAATTAGTCCCATTGGACAAGGAGTTAACAAACACCACTATTCTTGGAGAAAGAGAACTATAGCAAACCTGTAGCACTCAGCATCATTTACCACAAGGAAGTATGACATAGCAAAGAGGTTCACGGTTGCTTCCTCTTTGCTCTTTATGGGTCCATGCTCTCCATGGGTCAAATTAAGAAATCTACACTGGGTAGATTTCTTAATTTGACTGTATCTTAACCCATGATTTGGTTACCTCTTGGAGAATCTCGTCTTAAGTGGTGATAGACTTTGATCGACTGCACGGTTGTTGCAGTGGCTGGGCAATTGGCTGTTGTGCAACGTGTTGCGGATTCGATTCCCGCACGGAACAGCACTGGCTTGTGTATGTGATGTATGCATATTAGCGTGCCGCTTGACGATAATCGATGTCGCCATTCCTCATGACGGGAACCTCTTGATGTAAAGATAAACAAATGAAATACCATAACTTGGTTCATGAAAATTTTGACATGTGGATTGTGGACTCTGCTGTCATTGTGCCGATAGTTGTGCTGGTCAATGGATTAGTCTCCTAA